AGAGTCCTTTCCAGGGAAATACTTGTGATGGAAAACAATGTGGATAGGTCTAACGGCTGTCTTGTTTGGAAACCTGACAGTACCTTAGGTAGGAATGAAATGTCCATACACAAAGCAACTGTCGGTAAGGTTTATTGGAATGTAATGCAGCCATTCTGCTTATCTGTCTAGCTGAAGTTGTAGCCACAAAAAATATGGTTTTATAAGTCAGAAGGCTCAAATAGGCTAGAATGGAGGTTTTTAAAATTGATTTAACACCATTCTGTTAAATGAATTGATTTGAGACCATTGTAGTATTGGTGTCTTTATATTTGGGTACATAGTACTCAAAGTGCAATGAATTTCTTTTCCTGTTAAGCTGGCATCCGTTGTTATAGTCATAAAAAGTTGTGGAGTTTTGAATGGCATGTCCATTTGTACGTCCTGCCACCACTGAGTTGTACTGTAGTGCCAACTTTGATGTTATTTGTAGTCTTTTCTAGACATTGTCTTTCATGCTGTTGACAGATGCAAGGAACCATGACTGGAGAGGTCTCATCCTGTGCCTGGCATGGGCTACTAGTGCAGCAGTGAATGTCATTAAGCCCAATAATCTTTAAACTGAATGAGTGGTAACCTTTGGCTGGAACTTCAAAGCCAGAGAAATAATTTTGGGCACTCTCTCTTGAGGAAGGCAAAATTTGGAACAGTCATAAAAGGGGGATTAGATATGACAATTTAATAAAATATTATGAAGTGTTTTAAATAGACAAAGCTGTTAAACTTGTAAAAATGAATAAGACCCCCAAGTGAACTCAAATGGGGGAAACTGGGGATATCTGTGTTGTTCACGCTATACATAGCTAAACTGCTAAAAAATAGGATTAAAATACAGAACCTTTTTACTAGTGAATTAATTTCTATATGGTGTAAATATATAGGATTATAGACTCATTAATAACAGGAAAACCAATTTCAATTGACAGTTAAAAGGAAAAAAAGTCAAAAATACTTATTATTTCCAATCACTTCAAATAAATTGTTCTGCAACCCAGTTGTAATATTCTATTAGAGCACTCGCCACATCTGAAAACTATTGTATATAAGATGATTTTAATTTTAAAAAAGGATAAAGTCAGTAATTTTTTAAAAAAACATTGTTAATAAGGAATATAATAATTATATGGGAGCTAAGACTGTTTGGGAAACAAACCTAAATAGTAATATATCAGAAGATTCTTGAGGAAAAATATGGACTTATACAATCTTATCAATCATTACTGGAGAATTCTAGAGAAATTGTACTAAAAACAGTTCATACACAGTATCTGTGTCCTATAAAACTTCATAAAATTAATAAGGAGACATCAGCCACATGCTGGAGAAATGGTAGTTCTAAAGGGTCACTGGAACATATGTGGATCTCCTGTCAGAAGGACAAATCATTCTGACATGATGTAACAGAGTAGCTGAGTGTGTTTAACATAGTATGAGATAATCCTTAATGAAATCCCTTTGTTCTTATTATTTACCAGAGAGAAGTTAGCTGATAAAGAGCTGGTGTCGATTCTTGTAGAGGCTGTGAGAACTGAAATTCTTGGACATAGAAAACTGCACAATGATGTTACTTCCATATTCTATTCAAATTGCACAATTGCATCATTGTGCAATTTTCTGGATAGAATATGGATAATAACCGTAATGGGAAAATTGACTACTTGTCTTAGACTGCTTAAAGCGTGCTGCTTATATACTACCCCATAGCGCTTAAAGCACTCTCTGGGTGGTTTACAAGTTAATTATGCAGGTTGCACACCCCCCCCCCCCGCCCCAAGAGCTGGGTACTCATTTTATCAACCTCGGAAGGATAGAAGGCTGACTCAACCTTGAGCCGGCTACATGTAATTGAATCCCGGGTTGTGTGAACACTTTTGGCTGCAGTACAAGTAGTTTAACCACTGTGTCACAAGGCTTAGAGAAATTTTAAAAAGATAATTTCATTAAAATTTGGCGCTCTTGTTAGTTTTTAGTTCAGAATTAAATCTTGAGGTTGATATTTTGAGAAGTTGGCTGAAGTGTTGGTCTGTTTTTTTTAAGTTTAACAGAATGAATATATTAAGGGACTATAGGAAGGAACTGTATTATTTTTACAGATATATTGCTGAATGTGTGATTGTACTGGCAATTGGGCTATAAAATAAAAACTTGCATTTAAAAACCTCTCTTTTGAGAAAGAAAAGCTTTTCCTTTGAATCTAAAATGGCACTTACGTATTGCGTTGTCGTTGTTGTCTGACGATTTGCCTTTTTCAAGTTGATTTTGAACCTGAGATCCCACAGAAGTCGTAGTGTCATTTGTAGATTTTTTGGAAATTTCCCCATCAAATTCATTACAATTAACCAGTCATCTATACTGGGGAAAATATTTACTCCCCTAACCCTGAGAAATGCTGCAAGTTGTGCCATACATTTGATAAAAACTTGGAGTGTTGTTGAGAGGACAAATGGAAGCACCCTGAACTCATAAATTTGATGTCCCAAGGCAAAACAGAGGAAACGATGATGGTTTGGTGTTGTCGCTATATGGAAATAAGCATCTTTCAGATCCACTACTGGGAACCAGTCCCCTCTTTCAAAAGTGGGAATATATTTTTTAGCATTATTTTTGAATTTTCTGGCAATAATGTAACTGTTTATATTTCACAAGTCTAGTATCGGACATAACCCTTTGTCCCTTTTCAGCATAGTAAAATAATGAGAATAGAACTCGTTGCTCATGTAATCTACAATTGCATTCTTCTGTAGAAGGGTTACAATTTATTTCTCTAAAATTTCTGATGATTTTGTTGACTGAAAAATGTTGGTTGGTGGAATTATTTCTAATTCGATGGAATAATCAGGAGCTATGATACCAAGCACCCAATGGTCACTGGTAATGGAGCACAAAGTGTTGTAAATGAATGCTCAGGTGGCCTGGGAGGAGTAGATAGTTGGAAATTCCATACTTGTTTCATGTATGCTGTTGGTCTCATGTGCATTTAAGCCAAAATCTCTGTATGGTAGTTTTGTCACTCTTTTATATATTCTGAAGTAGGTTTGCATTGGGGCCAACTGTGCTGGTATTTGCAGAAGCTGGTGGATGGTTATGAACATGACATTTGCTTTTCTACAGGAGATCTCCCTCTCTAGTATGTACATACGATCTTTTCAAAGAGGTTCTGCACTGCTTTTATAGGTACTATGGTGTAAAACCCACACATTTTGCTGTGTTTCTCTTTTCATACAGATCCTCCATAATGCCATCTGTTTTGCTGCTGAACAGGCTTCCCCCATCAAAATGCAAGTCCTTTTGCAAGCTTAGCAAAAGAGGCTGCATTTTATCTGCAGGGGAAGATAGAGCGGTAGTATCTCTTACATCAGAATCTGGAGATAAGGAGATAGATGGGGATAACTCCAGATCAGGTTCAGTATTGGTAGACTCAGTCTTGCTTGGCTGTATCAGTTGTGGTTGATCAACACATTCTTCAGCAGACTCTGTTTGAAACACATGTAAGTCTATGTACTAAGAGTTTCTGGGTACCAGCACTCTGATTTGAAATACTCGAACTCAATCACAATCTCAGTAACAGTTTTATCCACTTCAGGAGAACTGGCAAAATGTCAGCTTGGAGAAGAAGCATAAGAATCACTTGTTGGTGACCTCTGTCACTCACGTACAGAGAGGCCAGCTCCTTTTTCTGACATTGACTCCAGGCATACAAGGTCTACGGTTTTTCTGAAAAGAGGAGTACACATTTGTGTTGAAGGGAAGACTACCACTGATGTGAGTTGTTTCTTATCTGCCTTCTTTGTCCTTTTAGGTTTTGAAGGCTCTATTTCAGAAATTTTCCTTCTTTCCTTCAATGTCAAATATGTTGGTGTGGAAGCCTTAGATGACTTGAAAGCATCTGCTGAGGTATATCTATTTTTCAATAGTGAAGCAGATGCTTTGGTATTAGGTTTTGCCAAATTGATTCAACAGAATTATTTTGTTGGATATTTTGATCTTCTTTAAGAACTGTCTCCATTACTATATTTTTAAATTAGATATTTACAAACGATTGAATCTAAAGTTTAGGCCTGCTCTTTTGAGATGGTATCAATGGCCTTAAATGACTCCTCCCATGAGAAGAAATTTACCCATAGCTTCCTATCCCTAAGTGCCACCTTTGTGAAGCTTAGGCAAATTTTACAATTCTGGGCTCAGTGACCCTTACCCAGACAGTAAAGGCACTTTCTTCGGTCATCAATTAGTGGTATCTTGCTGCTACAAGACACACAGTGCTTGAACACAGGCACCTCAGAGGCCATAAACAGTGAAGACAATGATGAACAATTCTTACATTTTTTAAAAGAAATGAAGACCAACCCCCCCCCCCAAAAAAAACCCAGGAGGAGGTAAAGAAGGAAGGTAAAGTATAAAGATAAGTAACAGAAATTTTCAAAGGGAGAGAAATACTTTCTCTCAATGTTCTCAAGATGCTGCCTAGTTGACAGAAGAAACTGAGGAGTGCCCATTGTCTGGAGTACTATACATTAATTAAGGGGAGGTATAAAGCTCTAGAATGTTCCTAAGAATATCTCCGCAAGTGCAGAAGTAATCTATGTGTGGGAATCACTGAGACCAGAAAGCAGCAGCAGAGACCAAAATCTCATCCTGACCTGATTTCTGAATGATGTAGATAAAGACTTTTTCATTTGCCCAGGATTTTGGATCTAGAGTTTTTATACTGGTTTCTAGTTTCTTTGCTGACCCTCTCTTTCTGCTGCATTTTTATTGTAATTTGATAACTGTTTTAATGGGTCCTTTATATAAAATTAGATAGTTCTCGCTTTTGAATAACACACTAATAAGAGAAAAAAATGTTTTCTTCAGAATCATAGCACTAATGAAAATTCAAAAAAACAGCTATTTTGAGAGTTTTGCAAAACCTGCATCTCACACAGAAACAAAAGTTGCTACTACCCAATATATGTAGATACCTGTTCAGGTAGTGGGTTGTTTTGCTTCTCCTCACTCCTATCCAATGAATGATCTGGAATGCTTTCCAAGTTCTGCTTCACTGCTGGTTTGTCAGTTGCCATGAGATTTCCAGGACTTGAAATGCCATTTCCTTCCTGTTCACTGTTTTTTGAAAAAATACTTGTTGCATCATAGTCTGCAACAGCAAGTGCCTCATCTTCCTTAAGGGTTTTCTGACAATCCTCACTCTGGCTGCTTGCTGCACTCTTCCCCTCCAGAATGTCTAGGGAGGAGCAAGAGATGTGGCTTTCTGACTGGGAATCAGCCAGAATCACCCCCAAAGGGCAGCAGTGACTATCTGAGATGATGACATGGTCTTCTTTGTCGGTCATGGTAATTAGGAGCTGGCTGCAATGATTGCATCGCTCTGGGATGGGTTTTACGTCCTGGGTTGGGAGGCACTGGACAAGAGCCAGGCTATGAGAGGTCCCACAAGCGACCTGAAGCACAACACGCCCTGCCAGGTACTCAACCTTTTGGGGCTTGGTTACTGGAAAAGTATTGGTGATAAGTCCAAGCTGGCAGCCACTTCCCCATGCCCATATTTCCCTACTCAGTGATAGGGCCAGGGTATGCTCCTCTCCACATGCCAGTTGCAAAATTCTTGTTGGCAAGAAGGGGCTAGCTTCAGAATCAGAAATACTGATGGGTACTGGTTCTGGCACCATGGCCTGGTTGGTCACAGCACACTGTCCAGATGAATTTTCTCCCCACATGTACACCACGCCGCCTTCAGTCACTGCGCCACTATGGAAGCTGCCAGCGGCTACTGTAATTACATGCTGTCCACTCAAACTCTTTTCAAGTATAGGACAATTACTATTGGCATCTCCTAGCCCAACCCTCCAGGGCTTTTTTCCAAAACTGTAAACTTGACCATCTGAAACAAAGAAAACATTATTTAAGCAAAATTCAACTCCCAGGCATATACTATGCAAAAAAAAAGTAATTATACTAGCACCAAAGTACGAGAGAGTGGAAATACAGTACAGTTACTGCCTGGCTGGACAATTATTGAGCTACCAATCGTTGAAAGCCAATTTATACAGAACATATTTACCAGAAAGTATGATGTTGCAGATAACACTGGGGGAAATTTCTCTAGCAGAAAGATAAACATAAAACTGAAGTAAAGTTCTGCGGGCTTCCCATATCATGCTATACACTTTATTAAAGTGGAGTATAAAGAAAAGCAAGAACTCAATCATGACTATTAAATGTATAGCCATGACTGAGTTCTTGCTTTTCTTTATATTCCACTCATGAAGAACAGAACAACTGATACAGAAGTAACAGTGTATAACTGCAGATGATCTATTTTCTTAGCTGTTTGCACACAATAAAAAATAATAATGATTTTAGAACTATTGTTCCATACCATCTGACAGAAGCACGCCATGGTTTACTCCAAGTGCTGCTTGCAATACTGTCTTTCCACTCCAGCCTGGCAGTCTTTCTGGGGCTGGACAACTGCAGCCAGCCTGCCACATATAAATTTGACCCCGCTCTCCTCCTCCTTCTTGGTCTGCCGAGCTATTTAGAAAAACAGACAATTAACACTGTATAAATCCTCAGAGTGTTAGAGCACGAGAAAACCAGAATTGGCAAAAATCCCATTCTCTCTCTCTCTCTCTCTCTCTGTGTGTGTGTGTGTGTGTGTAAATTATCCGCACTTCATTATTCAGAATGCAGACTTTGTCCATACATGATAGAGATGGGGGTATTCATATACAGTACAAATACCCCTGCACAGCTAGATGTAACGAGGGTGCCGCTGCCTGGGGCTGGACTGTCAACTCATGTGTCCAGCGGCGGCGGCTCCACTCTCCCTTCCAATCTCTCCAGAACGCCCGTTAAACTATCCACTCTTGACAGCAGGAGGAAAGATGAGTCTCCCTGCCAGGCTGATGACTGGATAGCCGACTGGGACCTCCAGAGCGACTGGGAGAGTGGAGCCGGCAGTGACAAACTGGTCCCAAGGGGGCTGGCCCCTCATTACGTCCAGCTGTGTGTGGGTATTTGTATACGAATACCCCCATCTCTAATAATAGCTTCTAGAAGGGGTAGTTAGTCAGTGAGAGGAGTGCATCATCAAATCAAGCAGCTGTTAAAAGTCTAAAGGCACTTCAGATGATCTCAGCATTACTCAGTGCAAGTCAGAAATGTGTCATGTGCCTATTTCCAGTATTCTCTGTTACCTACATAACTCTATACCTCTGTTACCTATCCCCCCCCATACTATCGTATAGCACTTGTACTTGCAGTTCCTCTGGTGTCTGCGCATCGTGGAAAGAGGGAATCCCCTGGCCCAGGACTGGGTTTCCTGTGCTCTTGATAGCAAGGGAGCCTTCCCTGCCCGTCCCCGCAGAAAAGGCAGCTTCTCCATTTTTCCAGAAGCTGCTTTTCTCAGAGAAGTCAGGCCACTAAGGAATTTCTCTTAAGCTATCTGTATATAGCATTGTTTCTGGTTCCATCAAGTAGCCATTCCTGGAAATATACCCCGGAAGGTGTATTCAAGTGTTTTTTTTTAATTCTTTTTTTCTTTTTTTAATTCCCCCCCCCCCGTGTAGTGGATAAGTGAAACTGCGGGTACTGGTCCCATATATATATATGGCAGTCCTACTGTACTGGGGAGCCACAGCCACTGACCAGTAAGTAAAGGGAGTCACGAGTCAAAAAAAGTTTGGGAACCACTTGTCTACAGGGAGTCCTAGGCCCAAGTCTCTACTTGGTCCTGACTGACTTCTCTCAGGCCAGCCTCTCTCACTCAACTTACAGCTTTCTTTTTAGTTCCAGCTCTAAAGAGAGTGCCATGGTTTTAACAGCTATACTGCAATACTGACAACTTCTTCCTCAGCTTAAAATACTGCACAACTTTAAAGGCATAGGTATTAACATACTAAATTAGTCTTTACTGATTAACTGGACTCCCAATGGGGCATAGTGGGTAGAGTGATGAACTAGGACTCTAGAGAATGGGGCTTGAATCCCTGCTCAGCCATGGAAACTCACTGGGGAAGGAGAACTGATAAAACCACTCCTTAAATGTTTCACTTACCTTGCAAGCCTTGTTAGGGTCGCTATAAGTTAGATCCGACTTGACAGCATGCAACACACAAGAATCAGTTCACTAACCTGCAAAATACTTTCATTGGTCTACCTGCTCATATACCTACAAAAATGTGAATTACTTCCACATCTCAGCATTCTGAAAGTATCAAATTTTCCACTTTGCAAAGACCTACATCTAATTTCCCAAGAGAACATCTTATCTGCTGTGAGTAACTATTTACAAATTGAAGTTAAACATTCCTTACCAAGTTGAAAATGTATGCAAAATATAGCCTCACCTTTCTTCTTGCGAGTCCATCTGTCAGGGAGAAGAGTCCATCACCAAATCATTCCTTTTTGAGATAGTAATGAGACAGTTTTGAAGACCATTGAAAGTGAAATGCAAACTCAGCAGCTGACGTCCATCCACAACAGACTCACTACAAAGTTGAGGGAAGACAAAGTCATCTCAGCCATTCAGTCAACGAACATGTACACAAGACCGGAATGCTAAAAAATCACTAACAAAACCTCAGCAGAGAAACGTATTCTGCCCACAGATCCCATGAAAGGCCTTTACAACTTTTAAACAAAACTAGTTTGCAAGAGAATGTGCCTATAAGACAATGTGGTCTTTTCAGTCAGCACCACTCTCTTTATCAGCTATGAAAAGGCCAAACTAGAACCCCTACACTGGAAGTTATGATTATTCAACACTTTGTTTTCTGAATAGAACAACACTGTTTTTAACACAGACCTTATCTGTATCACAATATTTATCTCATATGATGCTGCAGCAAAACAACAAGGGCTGTTTCTCACCATTTTATATGGACTAGTACTTGCAAAGGGGGAATGTAGGATTTTGTACTAGAAGAAGCCATGAGCGTCATCTCTCTGCAGTGATACAAGGAAAGCAACTGTGAAACTATCAGCTCTTTTTCTTGCAGGACAGACATACTGCTGCTGAATTGCCACAGACGCATCATGTGAAACAGCAACACAGCTTCCCTACAATTCATTACTTATCAGAACAGTAATGTTTAGAACAGAGGCAGGGAGCCTTCCACTTTCCAAGTAACTTGGTCTACAACTTCTATCAGCCTCACATACATGGCAAATTGTAAGGGATGGTTGGGAGTTGTAATCCAAGCTCAAGGTTGCCAAGTCACCAAAATTCCATTCTCTGATATTTTTAGGGGTGACGCCACAGGAGCAGAACCTTGTGGTGTCATACAGTGGAGCAACTGATTGTGGAAAAATGTACAAAGAGAATATAGGAAAAATAGGTCTAGTATCTGGTGACAGTCCAGCTACCCAGCTAATGTGGCAGGTCAAAATCCAAGGGAAAAACTTATTTTGGAGTATATCATATTTCTCGGCCAGTGGTTCCCAACCTTGGGTCCCCAAAGTTCATGAACAAAACTCCCAGAATCTCTCACCACTAGCTGTCCTGGCAAAGGTTTCTGGGTGTTAAAGACCAAGAATGTCTGGGGACCCAAGTTTGGGAATCACATCTAGGCTCTTTGTGCCATACAGCATTATTATACAGAGCAAATGACACATGGGGATTTTGAGGCTCTTTGCTGCTGCAGAGACTTGTGAAAGATTCACAACAATCCCACAAATATTTTTCAGGTTATTAGCGTCAGGGCTCACGCAACAAAAAGATGAAATGTTTTGATGCCAGCACTGTTCTCCTTGCGTTGCTCCAAATGGCAAATGATGAACCCAAGTGCATCTACCCACTGAATCTCTCTTGTTCCTTCATATTTGTCCTGGATTTCAGTTGCACCAACTTTGAAAAAGCACAACACATGTATGAGCACCTTCACATTGAATCATTGAGCACTGAAGTCAGCTGAGAATGGGTAAAGATAGAAAGCTTCAAAACCTGAGTACCCAAAACAAACAAGTAGGTTTCCTTCTCTGATACTCTTTGTCCTTAGAGATAAAGTCTACTTACTTGGTTTCCTTCTCTGATACTCTTTGTCCTTAGAGATAATGTCTACTTGCTTGGACAAAAGCAATACGACTTCCTTGAAACTTCAGTTGCCACTCTGACAATTGGCAATTCTATTCAAACCATCTGGAGGGACAAAGTTTCCCCACCCATGAAAACTGTAATGTGAGGAGCAACTTAATGAGTGAGCGCATACAAAATAAAAAATTCTTCAAGTGTATATAGTAATCTATGTGGCAATCAATGATGTATCAAAATCTGGCAAATAGCTGGGCTCAGTTTTGCTGCCTTCCCCAAACTACCAAGACTGCTGGAGATGTTGTCTAAAATTTAAGTGTTATTTAATCAAAATCTTCATGCCTTCACAGCTACAGAATTATCTTCCAGATTGACATTAAATATTTACAACTGTTGTGACTCCTAATTGTGTAAGTCAAGCCCTATATAATTGGCCACCTGAAACAGCTGTGCCACACTATTTTGAGCACCGTTTTCTTTGTCATTTTGAAAGTGCAACACTGGTTACATGTTGTTTTGAACAATTTCAACATCTTGCAAAACCCATTAAGGGATTCCAAAAAGTATCCCTTGGACCACACACCACTTCCCTGCTAATTATGCTGTTCCATGCAACTGTTTCGTTTGCACAATATGGCAAGCCCTGAATGTTTCCCAGTGCTTCTGTATTTAGCCACTTATATAAACCAACTCTTATTAAATTTGGGAGGTTCACTTCTCAATCTCAAATGATGCCTGTTTTTTTATTTGTAAGATATGAGAATTGAGAAGACAGCTAATCATTTTCGTTTGTATCGGTTTACTGCCCAACTCACAACAACAACCCAGTCATTCAAATTAATTATACCACATTTCCCCAAGGCCTACTTTTAAAAATATCCAATACCACAGTAAAAGCAATTAACTACCACTAGCAGGATGTGAATGAAATGCTTGTAACAATATAATAAAACAGTAATTGTAATATGAAAATAGCTTTGTTATGTTCACTTATGTCCTAAGACTTCCATTGCTATGGTAGGATGTTATTTTTATTAGGCAAGGAAATAGACAAACACATCTAAAGTATGAACAGAACAGAACTTATGAGTTGTACCTGACAAGTTTACTTGGTGCAAGGAATTCAGAATATCTGACTGCATATTCTCCTTGCTGAACAAAACACTACAGTTCTTCAGTACACAGTATGAATTCTTAACTAAACCCCAGGATGCTCACATTCCAGCAAGGAGTAATATACATACAGTACATGTATACTATATAGACAGATGTATCTATTGTATAGAACAGCCATTCTCAACATTTGTTGTTGTGGGTTTTTTTGCCACAGCCGTAAACACAAAAAGAAAGAAATACAAAGTGAATCAGTGGTTTGGAAACCTGGGTTCCCAGATGTTCTTGACCTAAAACTCCCATAAGCCTTCACCATTAGCAGTGCCAGCTGGACTTCTGGGAATTGTAGTACAAGAACATCTGGGGACCAAGGTTGGGAACCACTAGTCTAGAACATTCAGCATTTCATATTTAAGAGAATAAACCAAATCGCCATAGTTTTTCCTGTTTACTAGTAGTCCTGCTTCGATTTGAACACAACAGGCACCATTCTCAAGGAACACTGAAACATCAGAAACAAATGGTCAGGAAGCAGAGAAAGTGGACAAAGTGCAGCACCCCAGGTCCTTGGGGTCTACAAATGCCACCATTCCTCACTACCAGCTATAACGTATGGGAACTGCAGTCCAACAACATCAGGATGGTTACAAAGTTCATTCATGGTTTGCCATCACATTTGCAAATATACTCCAGTTTACAAACCATTCTATGCAAAAGAGTGGAAACCAGGATATCAAGACCATTTGTTATTTGCTGTTGAGTTCTGCTGTTTTACATAAACCAAATGATATGCCATACTAATTCATGTCCTTATGGAAACAAGTCTTTGAGCATCAAATGAACACTTCTGTTCCTTGCTACCTTCACGACACATGGCTGAACTTTAGAATCTGGACCCAAGTCATCAACTGGAATGAACTGGCTTATGAGAGGTAGAAACCTGAAGGTCTCCTGCCCGAGGCAAGCCCTACGAAGAACTATTACCCCATTGCTCATCAGGAGAGGATGAAAGACTATTATAGCAGCTTCCCATTTTGGAACTTTCATAACATGAGACCTGTCACCAAATGTTACAGCACGCAGTATTCCTGTTCCAAGGTTCCAGCCCGCCATGCCTTCTTGCCAGGCTACTCCATTCCTTTAAAATCTCCATAGTTAGCATTCCTCGCTAACTAACGGACCATGGCGTGCTCTGGTCCATGGGGTCACGAAGAGTCGATTAGCATTCCTCGGCCACTGAGAATGCACAATTTTCACTGGCTTATGAGAGACATCCCTGGAGTAATTTTTGCCTGAAGATTGTGGGGTTTTATGGTACTTCTGTAAATCCTGGGGTTTTTCCTCGACAACTGAGAATGCACAATTTTCAATGGCTTATGAGAGACATCCCTGGGGTAATTTTTGCCTGAAGATTGTGGGGGTTTATGGTACTTCTGTAAATCCTGGGGTTTTCCATGCTTCACAATCTCTCCCTCTTCTGTGGGGTAGAGTTGTTTTGGATACATAATAACTGACACCGAGTAGTCTGCCTTCACTGTTAAAGCACATAAACAGTACCATAGCTATCAGTTGCACAGCACCCTTGACATTACTGCGCTAGTCCCTCTTGATTTTTATTCCTCTTTAGACGCCCATCCTCTAAATGAATTTCTCATTTCTGTCCTTTCATATATATAATTCTCTTTGGGCCTTGTGAGCATACTATTGCAACATTCCTCTTTAGACGCCCATCCTCTAAATGAATTTCTCATTTCTTTCCTTTCACTTTGGGCCTTGTGAGCATACTATTGCAACTCATATGTTTACAAATAGACCAACCCTCTACAAAAAGGTTTGCCCCACTCAACTTTTGAGACTAAAATAAAATTTGTTGTGACTAGTAAGAGCAATGCAACATAATCAGCATCTCCCACCACCAGGAAAACGAGTTCTCTTTGGAAAGGCCCTTTCCCAACAGCTGCTAAAAAAGGTCAAATGAGGCCATGCATTGAGACCATGCCAGATACTTAATTTTTCCACGAAAAAGAGAACACTGAGCGAACACAATCTAGCCCATCTAAGAGGGGGGGCAAACAGATATTTATTCTGAACATGATGAACCACAAGGCAGGAGACAAGAATACTCGAGAGCAACAGGTAAACACTTGAGGCTGCTTCTGCTGCCTAAAAATTCTGAAGTAAACGAAAAAGGGAAGAAGGCATTTTCCCTTCGGGATGGAAAAGGGACATGTATTTGAGGCAAGGGTCCCTTAACCCCTTTTTTTTTTTCATTTTATACACAGAGAAAACACGTGGGGGGGTGCTTTTCTCTGCAGAAAAAGGGCAGAAATTCGGCATCTCTTTAGGAGTTCAGAACGGGCTGGGATGCTAGAGGAAGGCAATATGACGACAGCCAAGGCAGACGAGACACCCAACATGCCCCCTCCCCGCCGTGTCCTCATCACGTGACTGAAGTTTTTCTCTCTCTTCTCCCCCCCCTCCACCCCCGGCTCTAATTTAGACTCCGCTCTAAGGGTCAGCAGCGGAGGGGGGGGTAGACGAGGGAGGCACCACCACACGGCCGTTGGAGATTGGGTCCTGGCACGCGCGACGTACGGCTCGCGCCCCCCTCAGCTCCCGTCGTCTCTTGCCTCCCTCCCTCCCTCCTCCGCCCGCCAAACCTCTCACCATGAGGTGTGTGCGCGCGCCCTCGCCTTTACCCGCCAAGATCCCCCGCCGGCTTCTAGGGACGCTCAAACCAGCTGATTCACGTAAAGAGAAGGAAGAGGGAGGGGGGAAAAGGCGGAGCCTGCTCGCCTTTAGGGGCGGGGTCAGCCTCTGGCCCGATGAGATGATGAAGAAGCCGAGGCAGCAAGGGGAGGTCGGGTTGGGCGCGCGGACGGGGGCTGGAGTGGGACAAACTAGTGAAAGCACGGTTAAGAAAACAAGAGCTGCCAGGGAAGAAGCGGCTGCAGCCTTTGCTTAGGAAGGGGAGCCTTGAGCTCTTCGTACATTGTTTAACATTTTCAGAAAAGAGAGATAATAATTGCCATGGCCTGTGACTAGTGCAATAAATAAAATAATACACAAATAGTTGTTGTAGCGTGGAAGAGCGTGCTTAGGGCTGTCGCGATTGCTCTAGCTAGGGGTTACCTACCTTTATTTCTCATGTTTTGTTCTGCGTAAATCACAGTAGTATTCAGGAGATCATCCAGGTTTTGCCCTCAAACCTTCACCTGCTTAGCCTCAGCAAGATGATTGTTGGATCACACTTTGTAGAAGTTTATGGTTTTTTGCGTAATTGAAATGATAATTATAAGCTGCTAAAACAAAATAGCGAAGTGTTGTTGAAGGGACTGCGGGCGCGCACACGCCATATTGGGTAGTTTCATGTCAGGCATATGCAGACAAAAATAAATAAATTAAAAACAGACCTTGTGGCAAGAGAAAGACTAACTGTCATAGTTCAATATGAGCTTTTGTGGATGTTATCAACTTCTTCGTCATTCGTTTAGTCGTGTCCGACTCTTCGTGACCCCATGGACCAGAGCACGCCAGGCCCTCCTATCTTCCGCTGCCTCCCGGAGTTGTGTCAAATTCATGTTGGTTGCTTCGCAGACACTGTCCAGCCATCTCATCCTCGGTCGTCCCCTTCTCCTCTTGCCATCACACTTTCCTAACATCAAGGTCTTTTCCAAGGAGTCTTCTCTTCTCATGAGATGGCCAAAGTACTGGAGCCTCGGCTTCAGGATCTGTCCTTCCAGTGAGCACTCAGGGTTGATTTCCTGCAGAATTGATAGGTTTGTTCTCCTTGCAGTCCAGGGGATTCTCAAGAGCCTCCTCCAGCACCACAATTCAAAGGCATCAATTCTTCAGCGATCTGCTTTCTTTATGGTCCAGCTCTCACTTCCATACATCACGACAGGAAAAACCATAGCTTTGACTATTCAGACTTTTGTTGGCAAGGTGATGTCTCTGCTTTTTAAGATGCTGTCAAGATTTGTCATCGCTTTCCTCCCAAGAAGCAGGCATCTTTTAATTTCATGGCTGCTGTCTCCGTCTGCAGTGATCATAGAGCCCAGGAAAATAAAATCTGTCACTGCCTCCATATCTTCCCCTTCTATTTCCCAGGAGGTGATGGGACCAGTGGCCATGATCTTAGTTTTTTTAATGTTGAGTTTCAGACCGTTTTTTGCACTCTCCTCTTTCACTCTCATTACAAGGTTCTTTAATTCCTCCTCACTTTCTGCCATCAGAGTGGTATCATCTGCATATCGGAGGTTGTTGATATTTCTTCCAGCAGTCTTAATTCCGGTTTGGGATTCCTCCAGTCCAGCCTTCCGCATGATGTATTCTGCATATAAGTTAAATAAGCTGGGGGAACAATATATTCTTCAGCAAACCAAAAATAAATGTATCCAGGATAGCTTTTCAGGAGCTACACCTTATGTTGTTTTTATTGTCTTTAATTTTGCCTGGATAGAAAGAGAGGGTATCTGCATCTCTACACCAGCTATCCTATACAGTAAACCCATGGCCCAAGCTATTGTGGGATATTTGTCCAGAGAAGCACACTGTATTCCATTAATCCTTGCAGGGAAATGAAATTGTTAATTTGAAGGAGCTACAGTACTTTGGTTCTGTTTATGATGTTGCTAAAGCAGACTGTTACTATATGCCATCAAGTCACCTCTGACTTATGGTGACCCTATGAATGGGCCATCTCCAAAATTTCTTCTCTTCAACAGCCCTGCTCAGCTCTTGTAAACTCAAGCCTATGGCTTCCTTTAGGGCAGGGATGGGCAATTAATTTCTATAGGGGGGGGCACATGAAAAATCTGAACTGTGTTCGGGGGCCGAACCAACTTTACTTAAAAATAAAATGGAACAGTGATGTTATGATTGTTTTTATTTTAAACTTGTTAAACTTCACAAATACTAAAGCGGTTTTTGCAGCATGTTAAAGATAAGCAACTGATCAACTTTAGACAAAAAGCTATACATGGTTTTGATGTTCAAAACTGTCAGTGGGCCGGACAGGAGCAGCTTGCGGGCTGTATGTGACCCGCGGGCTGGACTTTGCCCAATTCTGCTTTAGGGAGTCTGTCCATCTCCTGTTTGGTCTTCCTCTTTTCCTACTGCCTTCCACCTTTCCCAGCATTATAGTCTTTCCCAAATAATCCTACTTTCTCATGATGTGCCCAAAGTAGAACAGCCTCAGTTTCAATGTTTTTTGCCTCCAGAGATAGTTCAGGCTTAATTTGCTCTAGGACCCATGTCTTTGTCCTTCTGGCAGTCCAGGGTATCCACAAAGCTCTTTTCCAGCACTGCATTTCAAAGAAACCAATTTTTTTCCTGTCATCTTTTTTAACCATCCAGCTTTCACATCCATACAGCGATCAGAAATGCAAGAGTGTGGATGATCTTGGTCTTGGTCTCCAATGACACATCCTTACACTTGATTATCTTTTCTAATTCCTTCATTGCTGCCCTTCTGAGTCTCAGTCTTCTTCTGATTTTTTGGTTGCAGGCCCTATTTAATCTATGATTGAACCAAGGCGTACAAAATAAAAAACAGACTAAAGGTGGCTATATCTGAAAAAATGCTATACCTGGACCAAGCTCCTTTGTTTATATTTCATTGTAAAAGAAGGTATGAAAAATTGTGCAATGTTTTAAAAGATCAGTCTGATTTTTTGGTTTTATTTATTTATTTATTTATTTATTTATTGGACTTATATACCGCCCCATAGCGCTACAAGCACTCTCCGGGCGGTTTACAATTTTAATTATAAAGGCTACACATTGCCCCCCCAGCAAGCTGGGTACTCATTTTACCGACCTCGGAAGGATGGAAGGCTGAGTCAACCTTGAGCCGGATACCTGGGATTTGAACCCCAGGTCGTGAGCACAGTTTTAGCTGCAGTACAGCGTTTTAACCACTGCGCCACGAGGCTCTAAAACATGAACATTTGAATTGCTCAAACAATTGTGTAAAAACAAAAAAAGAACATAGTTATAATATGAATGCATCTACGGATATGTTTGCTATGTACTTGCTGAACTTTTTCTTTAAGCAAACAGATGCTGAAGGAAAAACTGTGAATGGGACCTCAGGATTACTCATTAAGATGGTTTTAATCAGCTTCTGTTTAATGTTTGTCTCAGCAGTTCTAAACAGTCGCTTTCACAAACCTTGTTGTTTAAAGCCAAGAGAGTTACACAAAGAATGAAGGTGAAACACCTGGTCTTAGGATGTGTGTTTGGATTTGGGGGGGGGAGGGGAGGGAGTGTTTTTAAGTCTTGAAAATCATGAGACTGCTTGTGGCAGAGATCTCATGCAAGTCATATGAACATGCGTTTCCAGTTTCTGGCAATGAAAAAGACAAGGAGGAGTGAGATGATCAAGCATTCGGAGGACAGGAGAATATGGGAGTCATTCTATGCGGAAGTGCTTCTAACCATAGATGTCAATGTTGCTCTGAAGAGAGAGAAGTCTCACGACAAGACAATATTGAGCCTAAAGTGGTGGAGTATGTTGCAAAGGTAAGTAGCACTCCTCTGGGATCAGATGTTCTTTGGGGAGAAGGACTAAATTTCCCATTGACTGTACATAGAAGTTTTCAGGTTAAAGTCTTACTAGCAATGATAGCTCCACAAATTCAAAAGTATTAGAGAAAGTAAGGCAATTGAATTTATTGGGCCAACTGCTATGTAAAATATGTAAAAACTATTCAAGTCTTTGTAAAAGGCAAACATATGTGGTGCATTTCTAGAATGATAGTTCACTGAAAACTGCTAGATAGAACTGTTGGATAGCTCAGTGGTTTAGGCCAGTGGTTCTTAACCTTTGTTACTCGGATGCTTTTGAACTGCAACTCCCAGAAACCCCAGTCAGGACAGCTGGGGGTGAAGGCTTCTGGGAATTGCAGTCCAAAACTCCTGAGTAACCCAAGGTTAAGAACCAGTGGTTTAGGCCACTGGTTTTTAACCTTTGTTACTCAGATGTTTTTGGACTGCAACTCCCAGAAGCCTTCACCATCAGCTCTGCTGGCTGGGGTTTCTGGGAGTTGCAATTCAAAAACACCTGAGTAACCCAAGGTTAAGAACCACTGGTTTGGGCATCTGGCTGGGGGGGCAGAGGTTGGGTGTTTCATCCCCACTGTGCCTCCTTGACAAGAGGCCAGTCTTGTTGATCCATAGGGTCTCTTCCAGCTCTGCAGTTCTGAGATGATGATGATAAAAAGTCTGTGCACGATTCTCATGGAGAAACATACATCCCTGTTGTTCTTGTTATTCAACAACACAAGACACAGTCAATCAAAATTATAAAACCTTGATTGGTATTTGTGGCATCCACTCAGGTCATGAATATTAATATGATATCTGCATAGACCAATGGGAGTGCTGGGGGGGCAGAGTCACGAGATATAGGAGACTCAGCAGGCGTGGAGGGAGACGGAGAGTTTAAAGAGAGTTGAAGAGTTTGGGGATATTTGGGCAGGAGAGTGGTGGTTGAGAGTGGATGAAGGAGGATGTCTGTTTAAGTGTTAAAAGCATTGCTTGATCTATCATAATCTGTAATACTAAACAATTTCTATTTGGTTCTTTTAAAAATGACACCTTGCCTGGACCTCTGTTATTAATATTAAACAATAATGATGTAATCAACTGGTGGCAGCTGAAAGACGCGTAGTGTGAGCTTTTAGTTTAGTGAAACAAGCAGCAGCCACGTGGGGATTGTGAAAGTATTATATAAGAGATACAGTACAATTTTGAACTCAAACCCTATATATCTGTTAAATATCAGTGCAGTATGTACTGTATGCTGTTCCTAATATCCCTGCATTTTATAGCTCTGATGGCGTGATTTCTGAGATCTGCAGGTGCTTATAATACTGTATGAAATTTCTGATATTGTTCCCAAAGACTATGTGGACCAATGAAATATCTTTCATCCACAAACAAGATGTTTTGATTGCCAGGTCTCTGAATTTTGTTAGTTTTTGCAATTCTTTATTTTCAGCCCTGGCATCCCTTGGAATTGCAATGTCAATGATCCAGACATTTCTTTGTTCTATTACTACTATGTCTGGCATCTTATGTTCATTTGCATCTGGAAATCCCACAAGATCTTGACTTCCTCATTTTCTGACACCTTCTCTACCTGATGTTCCCAGGGGTTTGGGGAGGCTGGCAAGTTATATTTTTTGCATAAAGACCAGTGCACTAATTTTGCCACTCTATCATGTCTGCTTTTGTAATCTGTGCAATCTTTGAACATTTACAGATGAGTTGTGACACAGCTTCATCTTTTTCTTGGTAGAGATGACATTTGCTGATTTCCTTGGATCTTAGTTTTCATCACATTGGTTTGGACTGCTTGTTCTTGTACAGCAAAAATGAATCATCCGGTTTCTTTCTTAAGGGTCCCCAGTTATAGCCATGCCCATGTTGAATTATGATCATGCTTTCAGGTGTTGTCCATGTAATGGTTTATTTTTCCAGCTGTTTAATTTATCTTCAAGTGATTGTTTCTTATATTGAGCCTTTGTTTCTGTTGTTTTCAAAATATTCTCCATTTTCACTGCCTTAAGTAATTTTTCTCTGCTTATACTGATGTAATAATCTAGGCTTCTTTTTTCCTCCTCTGCTACCTGGTGTATTTGCAGTAATCTACAGCCCCCAGTTTTTTTGTGGTAAATATAATCTGTCCACATTACTTTTTTGTAATGCATGATGCATATTCATTAGTTTCCGTGTTTTTTTTAATCCAGTTCTTCTAATTAGTTTTGAGTCCAATCTATTATTCCAGCTGGGTATCTAACTACTGGAACTGCCTGTGTGTTTATGTCTTTGATTGTATTTCCCCCATTTAATTTTGATTTTAAGATTTTCCACTGTCTTTGTATATATCCCCTTTCTGTCAGTTATTTAACTTTTGTGTGCACTATGTTATCTGCTTCTAGTATTCCAAGGTATTTATAATTTTCATCACTTGAGAGTGATTTTATAATATTTCCATTTTTAAAATTCTATTCCAGCTAGTTTTTGGATCTCCCCATGGTGTATAGTCAGAAATGCACATTTGTCAATTCCTAATTTCATTTGGATATCTTTCACTAAATATTTGCACTGTGTTTAGCAATGATTCCAACTCTGTGTAACTTTTTGCATATAGTTTTAGATCATACATGTACAACAGATGATTATTTTTCCTGCTTGTTCTGAAATATGGTAGCCCATTCCAGTTTTATTTAAAATTATTGACATGGGGATTAGTGAGATATTAAACAGCAGTGGTGACAAAGAATCCCCCTGAAATATTCCTAATATTCCTAATATTCCTAATAATAAAGAAAAAAACTAAACTAACCCCTCCACTATGCTAAACCCTCCCTCCCCTTTGGAGTCAGAGGCTCCAGCCTCATTAACCCTCCGCTCTCCCCGGTTTGGTTTCCAGTGTATACTAAGTAGATATACATATATGATAAAATTTGCCCTACGCTCCTGTCTTCTTCTGGGCCCAAGAGTATATTAGTTCCCAGCTTTGTTTTACATAGTCTCTTGGTTGTTCCCGTAGTGCTTCTGATAGAGCGTCCAGTTCTGCTATATCCCATAGCTTCTTTAACAACTCTTCTATCGTTGGAACCTCTTCGCTTTTCCATTTTTGGGCCCAGAGTAATCTAGCTGCTGTGAGTATATACATCAGACAATGCTTCATTTTTTTTTAATCATTAATTCCTGGTATGACATTCAGTAATGCCATTTCAGGTTTTGTATCTAATTTCTGCTGGGTAATTTTTCTTAATGGGACATTAAGACAGTTTTCCATTTTTCCATGTTTTTCTTGAGGAACTTCTGAATATATTTACCAGTCCTAAACATTTTTAGGCAGGTGTTAATCCAGCTGTGTGGCAAGGAGTGAAATGCCTTTTTATAGTCTATCCAGGCGATATTACCATTTGTTTTTCATCTTTTTGCATTTTCACTTCATTTTATCAATAAGCAGTTGATCTTTTGTGCCTTTATACTTTTTAAAGTTCCCTTTCTGTTCCGTTGGGTATAGGGAGTTTTCAGTTAAGGAATTGTATATTGATCTTGCAAGTACTGTACTCCTGTGAGGAGGTTGAAAATTGTTGGAAGGCATGTAATTGGTAGGTAATTATTGGGTTCATTGCCCTTTTGATATTTATTATCAGAAATGTGCGGCCTGCTGTCATCCAGTCTTCAGTTGTAGAATTTTGAAGTAAGTGCTTAAACTGTACTGCTATACATTGATGGAGACTTACTTTAACCAAAATCTGTGCAGCTCATCTGGACCATGTGCACTCTAATTTTTCATATCCTTTTCTTGCCTCTTAATCATATCAGTTGTTATTACAACATCATCCATTTGCTTTCCTTGAGTTTCTTTACAAATGTCTTTAATCCGTGAGTTATTTGTGTTATGTTTGGTTGGGCTTTCCGACATTTCTTTCCAAAATTTTAGAGCATTATGTTTACATGGGCCTAATTTCTTTTGTTCTGCATTTTCTTCTAGTGATGTATAGAATAATAGTTGGTTATTTCGGAATTGCGTGTTTTCTCTATATTGTTTAAAAAGTTTAAAGCATCCATCATATATTTTAATTTTCTTTCTGTAGCTGTTATGCACTGTTTTAATTTTTCCATAGTTTCAACTATTGTTTTCCTTTCCAGGTCATATATTTTGCATAGTCTGGCTTTTACTTTTTCATTTTTAAGTTTTGAATCTTCCAAGTGTTTTAAGTTGCTACTGTTTGCATATAATTTGTTTATTTTTCTTTTCAGACAAATTTTCCATTTTGCAGTGCCACGAGTTTTCTGGGTTTTTTGCAGCTTGTAACCAAGTTCCATGGTTATTATAGTAGCTGTGCTATACATGAGCTGGTTTTTTGACTTTAGCATGTTGGCTGGGATTGTACTGATGACAACATTTTCATCATTCAGTAGAAATTTTACTGGTTTACTTTGTAATTGGTGTGAATTGGGGAGCCTTTGTCTTTCTGTGTTCTTGCTGATATGGGCTACTGTTTTCCCCCTCAGTGTAGTTTGCCATTTTGTCAACTCATAATTTCTTGGTTTTTCCATGTTTCTCTATTGATACATTTTCTTCCACTATTGTGTCTACCTCTATCCTCCATTTGTCTTCCATATTATGGTCAATGTTCTGTGTTGATTTTGCCACCTTTTCTAGTTCTTGCAATTCCAGTTTTGAAAACACTTCACTCCAGATGATAAACCTTCTCTGGTCTATTAATCATTCCATTATGTCATCAACACTGTCACTGTTGCTATCAGCTGTGTGTATTTTCCACCTTTCCTTCAGTAAGCTCAAAGCATTCATGGCTCTCCTTCAGTTTTATCCTCCCAACAACTCTGTGATGTTATCAGGCTGAGAGATTGACAGGCTTCAGGTCACCCCATGAGTTTCATGGCCAAATGGGTATCTGAAGTCAGGTTTCCTGAGTCATAGCTTAACAATGTAACTGCTACAGCACACTAGGGCTCCAAAGGCTATCTTTTGTAGCAATGGAGGGCATTACAACAGTGTCCCCTCCGGTTTCTGATCTGAGCTGGAGAGGTTCCTCATCCTGTTTCAGGGTGAGCTGACCCTTGCTTAGACCAGGAGCTGCCCCTGCCAAGAGCACTGCTTAGATGCATGGAGCAGAGGTATATATTCCCTCAGCAAGTATATTCCCAATGGTTGTTGTGGATTTTTCGAGCTCTTTGGACATGTTCTGAAGGTTGTTTTCCCTAACATTTCACCAGTCTCTGTGGCTGGCATCTTCAGAGGACAGGAGTAGGAACTCTGTCCATGCTCTGGAGTTCCTACTCCAGTCCTCTGAAGATGCCGGCCACAGAGACTGGTGAAACGTCAGGAAGAACAACCTTCAGAACACGGCCAAAGAGCCCGAAAAACCCACAACCATCAGATCCCAGCTGTGAAAGCCTTTGAGAATATATTCCCAATGTTGCTTTCATCAGGAGAGATCATGAGTTAAAGGGGGAGTTTTTCTTCCCCCACTGGCCATCCTTCTCCCAATGTTTTGGAGTCAGCTAGCGGCAGTGGGAGGATGTTTTAAGGCATTTATGAGAAGAATCTGAGCACTGGAACAGCTTAGCATTTACTGACTAGCTTTTGATTTTCTGCTATACATACTTCCATATCATCTTTATTAGGAAAGGTATATGGGAATGTTTTCTTTCTGATGTGTCATTCTTCCCAGAATAAAGGAATGAACAGCTCAAGGGGGGGGGGGACAACAAAAATATGTAGGCAATAACAGGTATATTCTTATTCTTAAAATGGTTTCTTTTTCCACCCTGCCAGCTGACAGAAGATTCCAGCAAAATGCCTCAGCCAATGACATCATTGCAACCACAATGGTTCCATACACTTCAGACACAAAAATCCAAAAGAATACAGCAACGCCGCCTCAGTGATCCCTCCCAGGAGCTGGTTTTGGCAGAGAAATTCCAGTGGGTGAGTGTGCATTGCATGAAGTGACTAACAGAACACAATTGCTTTAATGTTGGTTAGCTATTGCACTGGACGTCCCACTTCTTTTCCTTCACAGAAGTGGTGTCTCTGACAGGTCTGAGGAGGTCTCTCACTGTGGCAGTGACCACCCCAGAGCTGCTTAGCTTCAGTAAGGTGGCTGCTTCTTTAGCCCCCAGTCTAGTTATCTGAAAGGCTCACTAGCAAGATGGTGGGAATTGATTTGAACAAATATTTTAAAAATGTGGTATGTTGACTGTATATTTTTATCTCAGGGTAGAAAAGAAAAGGGGGAAAACAATATAGCGGTGGTCCATGTAGATGTTTCAAAGCTTATTTTGAACATTCCTCTGTGCTAGGAATGTTGGATTTTTGCAGCATTTAGATTACTGCTTTTCTTTTAAGACAGTGATTTTCAAGTTTCCTCATCTCAAGTCTGAAGCGATTTTTTTGTTTTTTGCTGAGAAATCATATTGAGCCCACTTGTTAGAATACGTCTTCAAACATCTCCAGTATAGTCAGTGGAGACTTGTCGTGCTTTAGAAGTGTTCAGTGTTGTATGACTGGACTACCATTGTACTAAAGCAAACAACAATTCTGCCTTTGTTACATATATAACCTGAAATCTGGGTGGCAGGGCAAAGTTCCAGAACTTATTTCAGTGCCTGGAGTCAGCCTTGGGAAGAGAGTTCCCCCAAGCGTGTACAAAGTACTAAAACTATCTACTGCTAAATATATATACAACTTGGCAGGTGGCATACATGTCAGACACTGTGATTTCCAGGTAATGTTGAGTCCTTTATTAGCTGCCTGTCCAGTCTTTAAGTAGAGGCATTTTTAATAACTTGGAAAAATTAGTGGCTCAAATCCTGTTGCTTAGTGTCTAAGTCTCACTAAAGCTGGTTCATTCAATCAGTAGGGTTTTGGTGAGATCGAGAAAAGAGAATGCACTTGCTTTTTGATGTACTAATGGCCTTTGAATCCAAGCAGAATTGAAGAAGTCACAGGTAGAGTAGGCCCATTTAAATCAGTGGAAGTTATGGAGGGACTGGCTCATCAAATTCCCATTTAATCAATGAGCCTAACCTAGTATGACTTACTATGCTTAACAACAGGATTTCAGCCATTCATATCTATGTTAAGCTACATTAATATAATAAAAAGTATTTTCTGTCTGCCTTTTCGTTCTTTCATGGTGTGTACATAGTGAATAAGCCTCTCTTTCTGTCTGGGTCCAAAGACTGTTCCTGTATCAAGTCCATACTCTCTCTCTCTTTCTTTCTCTGTATCTTGGTTTGTCCCTCTCCCATCCAAGCAAAGAAGAGGTCTTCCATTTGGAAATGCTTCATCCTACTTGAATCTGGAGAAGCTGAACGAGGGTTCCCACTCAACAGTATACAAAGGGATCAGCAGGTACGTTTTAGAGAAGCCTCAGCCACTGTTACATAACACAATGTATCAGAGATTAATTGACTACAATTAATTTAAAATCCCAAAGTAGGTGGAAATATTATAAACATCATTCTGGAATTCAAAGGAAATATTCAAGGATAAGCAAACTAATAAGATGAAAAGTCTGACTTCTGGACATCTGGACTATGGAAAGCAACCTTACATTTCTTCTGAAAGAGCCAAGGAGTTCTACGACATTCAAGAATGGTTGTACTGAAGAAGAAAAAAAGAGTATTTGATTATAGTTCCATGCGTGTTTTACAATTACAATACAGGAAATGTTATCTGTGTTGGAGGTGAGAGTGTGCAACTCAGCTTATACTGGCTTTGCATGAGTAGACAGAGAGAAAAGGACTTTCTTGGGTTTCCTAGACTGTCCTTTAGATCACTGGTTCTTAACCTTGGGTTACTCAGGAGTTTTGGACTGCAACTCCCAGAAGCCTTCACCACCACCTGTCCTGACTGGGGTTTCTGGGAGTTGCAGTTCAAAAGCATCCGAGTAACAAAGGTTAAGAACCACTGCTTTAGATGCTCTGGCTTTTGCTCGCCTTGTTTAGCTTAGACTTACCTTCTCTTGTTTTGCTGTTAGCTACCTCTGGGAGAAGAGAGAGGAGGCATTTTCTAGACTGATAGGGTTTTTACCTTCTCTTGTTTTGCTCTTAGCCACCTCTGGGAGAAGAGAGAGGAGGCATTTTGACTTTCTTCCTTCACCTCCACCTTAGTTCCTTAGAACTAGGATCCCTGTTAACTTTTCTATCTCATTGTATTCTCTAATAAACACAAACTTACTAATTTTGTTAGAATAAGACATATAGAGATACAGTAATTTCTTTCCAAAGCAGGAAATGTACACTGCTAACTATTCCTATTTTCAGGAACTAATTTTGTTAGAATAAGACGTATAGAGATAATTTCTTTCCAAAGCAGGAAATGTGCACTGCTAACTATTCCTATTTTCAGGAACTGAATCCACAAGTTAACCTGGCGGCCGCTCACTATGGTAGCAGTCTAAATATTTCTGCTGCATCATGTGCACAAAAACACATCTTCCTCTGTATGCAGGGCCATGTAGCCAGCAATCTAATTAACTCATGTGAAACTCAGACTCTTTGTATGCTGTCAAGACTCAAACTCTTCTTTCGGCATTTATACAGACAGAAGACCTGAGTCTGTGTCTGCATGTCTGCTGCAGCACGTCTCTAAACTGTTGCATTTCAAATGAGTCCCTGTATCAGAAGGTGTGTTTCACTGGCAGACAGGGGAAAGGAGAATTTATTGCTAGATCTTAAGTGAAGGCTGGAAATGTTGGCAGAATCTTACCTTGCATAAGTGTAATTGCATAAATGGCAATTTACACTAATTTAAGTAGAATTGCATAAATTGATGTAGGGAATTGCTGCTAATGAGTGAATTGCTACCCACATTGTTGGTAGTATATGAAGTCACATAACTAGCACATGAGCAGGCATGTGAGCAGCAACTCGTTAATTGGATGCAATTCACTGCCATCATTACACTTCTGCTAGCGTAGATCTTCAGTAGGATTCTGGCCATTATTTTATGGACCGGAGTTTCTACCATCTGCTTGTTCACCTGACCTGACATTATGTACTCATGTTTTCAAAAGCTGTTTGAAAAAGTCTTTCAGTGAAGGTTCTGAGCAAACTTAGTAGGGAAAAGATCCTCTTATAGTGTCCTCTTATAGTGTAGTACTGTACTTGGGGAAAAGACAGAATACAGAAGATAAGAATGAGTAAGAGTTCTCATCAGGGAGAGATGTAAGAAGCGGGGGTAAGAAGGGAGGTGGGTCCTCCAGGATTCTACATTGGGATGGAGCTTTTAAACTTAGGTCTGCCGTAAATTGTGGCTCCTGCTATCAGATGATGCATATACAGTCACTGCTGATGATCTGTTTCATTAGAATATATGGACAGCTGGTAGCTCTGAAGGTCGTCAGCCTAAAGACTGAGGAAGGACTCCCTTTTACAGCCATAAGAGAAGGTAAGGTTTCCAGTATGAACACAATTTAATCTGTGCCAGGGCTCAACCCCTGAATCCGTTTTCAGTGCTGGGACTGACCTCTGAAGTAATAAAGAAGATTGCCTCTGGTTTGGTGTCCGCCTTTTCTTTATTCTAGTCTATTTACTTGCCCCCATATATGATGAAGGGGTGTCCCCATCTGAGATCACCAGATCATCAGGGGTGAGGGGAGAGATTTGGATTACCTTTACTGTCCACTTCCAGCTTGTATATGTTCAGCTTTAGATTGAGGTAATCCTATGTGAGTGCAAGTCAGAACTAGGAACGTGACTTTTTAAAAGGTAACCATTGTTTTGCTAGCAATTGCATTACTTTGAGTCGTCTGTGGTCCTTGTTATCATAGCTCCTCTGACTTATGTACTGTGAATTTGGAATTGAATTACAGTCACCCAGAGCGAGCTTTCAAGGTGAGTGAGGTATTGAAGGGGTAGTTTTACCACTGCCCTTCCTCCCCCCCCCAATGACTTTCTATGGCCAAGCAGGCTTTCAGACTCAGGTCTCCTGAGTCCTAGTCTTTCACTCTATCCATTTCACCACACAGGTAGGATATGGCTTTAAACTGCCTTAAAAGGCAACATTTGAAAGTAACTAGAAAACTACTCTGTACCCCAGAAATAACTTGGTAACTACTTGTTGCATTGCTCTTGAAATTTGATTTAGGTATACTCTTGTTGCCACCAAAAGCAATATGTTGCAGGTGGCTACATTTCTGATAGTAGTTACTATGGTGTAACTGCATAAGTGCAGCACACCTTTTTTAATGCAATCAGGAATGAGCCAGTGGAAGCGCTGGAGATGCTTGTGCTCTATCCTTCCTCTGCAGACCCCACAGAGGTCCATGGAATCCTGGAAACCAAACTCAGAGGAGGAGATGAATCCATGCACTTTTGTGGTACGCAAAAGCAAAGGAAAAATAATCCCCTCCCTTGTTGTGTTTGAAGGAGGGGAGGCTGAGTTTCCCCAGCCCAACCTGCTCACTGCAGCCCTTTATAGAGGAACCCACGTATACACAAGTCCAATTTTCCTCTGGGTTTCCACGCCCCTTTCTTGCTTATATAAGAGATATTTTTTACATCAGGTGTATTCTTGCATAGCTGGCTGGATAGCTTTAGCGAGTTAGGTAGGAGCCAGAGGTTGGGAGTTCGATTCTCCACTGTGCCTCCTTGACAGAGGCTGGACTTGATGGTCCAGAGAGTCCCCCAAACTTTTCAGAGCGAGGGCCAAAACATACGTTTCAAATTTTCAAGGGCCAAAGGAAAAGGCATGTGCACGTGTTCACCCGCACACCCTCACTCCCACACATACGCACTCCTGCATGCCCCCCAAACTTTTCAAAGTGAGGGCCAAAACATATGTTTCAAATTTTCAAGGGCCAAAGGAAAATGCGTGTGCACGTGTTCACCTGCACACCCACACTCCCACACATACGCACTCCTGCATGCCTGCATGCACAACAGACTGGATAAAAAGGCAAGGCAGGCCGGATGAGGGCCATAGTTTGGAGACCCCTGTTTTAAGATGATGCTGATTATTATTATAATGCACATTATCAAAGAATGGTATGATATATATGACATGTGTTTTGTCTGAGACTATTGCTATCACTACTTAGCACATACAAAGCATTAAAAGTTTTTTGGTTTACACGTATTGTTGATTAAGACAGTCCTATTCTATGGTTCACAGACATAATACGAAAGGAAGAAGGACTGTCAGGGAAGAGGAAAATACATTGCAACAGTAACTCTTCTTTGGTCAGTGGATGGGGCCTGGATACTGTAGTCCCTTCCTTGTCCTAGTCTTCCTAGAAGTGAAGGATACTATTCCAAAGTGGCTGTCTGCTTGCATCTTACTGAATGTGGAAATTGTTGCACTTTGTTTATGCGTATGCACGTACGTGCAGTTTAAATGTTAATCACATACATTTCCTCTTTTTCTGAATGTGCTTTTTGAAAAGGTACTTTTCCTCTACTTTGTTCTGGTTGGGTGTGCTGGGGGAAGTCTTTTGCTGGGCAAAATGTCTGCAATTTTCTTGATGTCTCCAATTTATGTATTTGCTTATGTCTGTAATTATTTCTTTCAGTCCTTTAGATACTCCCACAGATATAACATTCAAAACAGCTTGTTTAAATTACCATTAAGAATGTTACTTTCATCTGTGAAAAGAGTCAAATTTCTTTCTTTCTTTTTTTTCTATGTGAAGGAGAAAGGCGGGGAAATAAACAATTTAATGCCAACCTCTTAGGAACAAGGCCTGGAGACTGAAGTGCTGCCTAATGCACTAGCTTTTGCTTATTTCCCCTATGCAAATCTAAATTTCGTAACTCATTCTGGATGAAATTACACACTCTGAGAATACGTAGTTAAAATGAGTAATCAGTGATGTTATTTATTTCTTATCATCTTCTTTTAAAGCATTTACACCCAAACGTACAGTCACATGAAAAAGAAAGTACACCCTCTTTGAATTCTATGGTTTTACATAGCAGGACATAATAAAAATCATCTAGTCCTTAGCAGGTCTGAAAATTAGGTAAATACAACTTCAGTTTAACAACAAGGCATGACATATTATGCCATGTCATGATTTATTTAACAAAAATTAAGCCAAAATAGAGAAGCCATGTGTAGAAAAACTAAATACTGTACACCTTTACTCCATCCATAGGAATTAAGTAGCATCCAGGTAATGCTAACCAAAGACCCTTGAGTAATTGATCATCAACTACTGTGACCACCTCTATAAAAGCTGAGGTATTAGCAGTTTGCTGGTCTGGAGCATTCAGATGTATGTTAACACAATGCCAAGGAGTTCAAACATCAGTAATTATCCTAGAGATGCAGCTGTTGCTGCCCATCAGTCTGGGATGGGTTATAAGACATTTTCCAAATGATTTGAAGTCTATCATTTGACAGTAAGGAAGGTTATTCACAAGTGAAAATGTTCAAGTTGTCAGTGTTCAAAGGAGTGGACATCCAAGCAAATTCACTCTATGGTCAGACTGTGCAATGCTCAGAAAAACTGCAAAAAAAAAAACACAACACAAAACAAAACAAAACCCAAGAGTTACATCTCGGACTCTACAGGCCTCAGTTAGCATGTTAAATATTCACGACAGTAGAATTAGAGAAAGACTGAACAAGTGTGGTTTGTCTGGAATAGTTGCTAGGAGAAAGCCTCTTCTCTCTAAAAAGAACATGGTAGCTTAGATTTGCCAAGTTGCATCTGGACAAACCACAAGAATTCTGGAACAATGTCCTTTGGACAGATGAGACCAAAGTGGAGATGTTTGGCCAGAATGGTCAGAGCCATGTTTGGCAAAAACCAAACACAGCATATCAGCACAAACACCCCATACCAACTGTCAAGCATGATGGTGGAGGGGTGATGATTTAGGCTTGTTTTACAGTCACAGGACCAGGGCACCTTGCTGTCATAGAGTCAACCATGAACTCCTCTGAATACCAAAGTGTTCTAGAGTGAAAGGTGAGGCCATCTGTCTGTCAGCTAAAGCTTGGCTGAAACTGGGTCATGCTACAGGACAATGATCCGAAGCACACCACCAAAATCTACAACAGAATGGCTGAAAAAGAGAATCAAGGTTTTGCAATGGTCCAGTCTTGGGACCTAACATCTACAATAGAATGGCTGAAAAAGAGAATCAACGTTTTGCAATGGTCCAGTCTTGGGACCTAACAAGAGCTGTGCATAAACAAGTGCCTGCAAACATCTATGAACTGAAGCAACATTCTAAAGAAGAGTGGGCCAAAATTCTACCACAATGATGTGAGAGACTGATAAGGTCATATAGAAAATTACTTCAAGTTATTGCTGCTAAAGGTGGTCCCACAAACCATTGAATCACAAGGGTACTTAGTTTTTCACCCTACAAACTATTGAATCACAAGGGTACTTAGTTTTTCACATATGGCATCTCCATTTTGGTGTAATATGTCATGTGTTGTTCATCTGAGGTTGTATTTGCCTAATTTTCAGACCTGTTGAGGATGAGATGATTTTTATTACATTACATCTTGATACATAGAACTGTAGAATTCAAAGAGAGTGTACTTTCTTTTTCACATGACTGTATGTCCAAAGATTTCTAGGCAGCTTATGACACAGTAATTTAAAACCTTCCATCTTACGTTCACAGCATCATATTACAGAGGCCTTCTGCCTCTGATACTGGAGAGGATACAGAGTCATCCTGAGGAGCAGCCTTCAAGGGTCCCCATAATGTTCCATGCATTTCTGCAGTCCTTTTTCAAAGCAATCCAGATCGATTCCCCTCACTAGGTCTTGTGGCAGCGACTTCCTCGGTTTAACTATGTGTGCTGTGAAGTGCTTCCTTTTGTCTGTGGAAGGAGTAGAAAATCTCCCTGCCTACTTTTTCTTTCCAAATGTACCTTTATACAATTCTATTGTGTCTCTTCTTATGTGCCTTCATTCTCTGCCTGCCACAAGTTAAATAGCCCCTAATTTTATAACCTTTCGTCATATGGAAGGGGCTTCAGTCCCTTGTTTGTTTTGGTTGCCTTTTTCTGCTACGGTATTTTTTTAAGGTTCAGTGACCATATCTGTCATAGTATCCCGGAGGTGATCACATCTAGAATTTGTATAAAGGCAATTTTAATGGTGCAGTTTTATTTCCAACTCCTTTAAGTTAGTCCAACACAGTTTGTCTTTTTAAAGCAGTAGCTACGTACTGGGTTGACATATTGTGGAGCTATTTTCCCCAGAGAGATCCCTTCACAATTTAGTTGCTGCTAGCTCAGATCCCTCCAGTGTTTATGTGAAGATGGAATATATATACTGTATATTGCTCCAGTGTGCACCACTTTACATTTGCTCACTTTGAATCTAATTTGCCGTTTTACTGCTCATTTGACCACTTTTGCCCAGCTTGCTTTCCGTACACTCACCCTCTCACTGTCCAATGCAATGTAAAATATGAAAAAGAGAAGCAGAAAATGAAAATGCAACAGCAATCAAAGAAATTTAAATATTTGGAAAAGTGGGGACCAATTAAAACAGAGAATACTTTATGACAGCAGCTGTGTGGGGCTGTGTGGGGAAGCTGGTCAGGCACCTTTGTACATTGTCTCTCCAGCAGCATGATCTGCCCTTTGCACTGTTCATGAGAAGAGCCAACCCAGAGATGAGTTGGGAAGGGAATCATAAGAGTCTTCCAAGTGGGGCTGATTCATACCTCTTGACTTCAAAGCATAGGTTTTACCAGCATCTGCATCCATAAAAATAAAATTCCAAAGGTTAGGGGGATACCATGTGGCAACAAATTTTTCCTTCACATTAGCATTTCTTGTCTCCTCCGTTTCCTTTGATTCTCACCATCTCAGCTTTGCCACCAGAAAGAAAGAAAAAAAAAGAACACAAAAGTCAGAAAAGAAAAATAACAAAAGAAAAGCCGCAACATAAATGAAAGCCTCTCCAGGCAATTAGCATAGACATGAATTGAAGAAAGCTGTTGCACAAAGCATATAAACCTTGCCTTGCAGAACGAACATTTTGCCACAGACAGAGTGCAATCAAATGGTGGTAAAAGGGTGTGTCCAATCACAGTGGAAAGGGTCACCTTGCAGGGAGCTATTGTCTTTAAAGCTACCCTTCTGTCTGTTGGATCTATAGCTCCATCTTCGCCTCAAAAAGTAGCAGCTCTGCTATGGATCAGGCTGGGCTAGAGCACAGCTCCCTGAACATCATGTGATAACCGGAGTGCTCCATCAGCAGTCCAACATGTGATCTGTTATTCTGTGTGATCACATCCAAGTCTCAGTTCCTATCACTGTCTGCTACTGGTTATGCTAAGACAAGCCTTACATTGTCTGGATGGTGGGGGGAAAAAACAGCAGCATCAGGAATGAATGTGGCACATTTCAGGGAACAAATGCCCCATTTGGAAGACCCCAAATGGTTTTAACTATTCAGTCCCTTCTGAAGAATTTCTCCTGAACACCAGCTCTGATAAGTTCCTGTTCCTACTTCAACTTTCAAGTGTCCAGGCCTAGAAATTATCTGTGCTAATTGCCATCTATTATTTCCTTTCTCACTGCTAGCAGTTTGACTACTGTTTATGCATCCTTAGCATCTCTTCTCAGGGGCTTGAAACATGCCAATATTGTGCTCCTTCATGACATCATCCAGACCAAAGAGAAGCTAACATTAGTGTTTGAGTACATGGTGAGTTGTGGGTTGTTGTTGTTATTTGCCAGAGTTTTTAATTTATTTATGGTTGATTCATTGATTTAAAGATGTCTGAGCCTTCAGACAAACACACTGTCTTCTTGCTGCGATATTTCAAAACATTTTGTAGTGCAATGTAAGTTATAAGTTGATCCTGGTAACCAATGTTTCATGTTTGCATTCCCTTCCTTGAGAGCCTTCTGTTCCCCCTATAACTTCTCTCAAATAGTAGCCACATACTTCTTTAAATTTTTTTATTTTTTTGCAGTAAAAGCTTTCAGGAAATTATTGCTTTTGCAACTACTGTGACGATGAGCTCTTACTAACTGTAAAACCACAGGGTTTTTTAAACAAGGTGAATATGGAAGAAAAAAACACCCTCACTCTTCTTTCTTGTCACTTTTGTTATTCCTTGTGAACAAGCAATTGATATGGAAACATATGTGACATTTATTTTTCTCTGTTTTATAACCCTCTGATAATATTCTGGCAAAATCCTTCTGACACTGAGGGTTTCTGGGGCGATTTCATTGTAAGGTTTTGTAGGTTTTATTTCATTGTAAGGTTTTGTAAGGTTTTATTTTTGAACTACAATGCCCAGAATCCCCCTTCCCCCAGCCAGTATAATCTGTGGCCATGGATAGGAGATTCTGGGAGCTGAATTTTAAAAGCTTATTTTTTTTTTGGAAGCTCTCATTATTATATATAACTATGTTATGTAAGGTAGAGGATGTAAAACAAAAACCCTGTTTCCTCATCCAAGACATCATAGCCTTATTTCAACCATAAGAAAGATTTTAGGGTGAGATCAGTTGGTGATATAGCTCACATCTTTGACTGTTTTGGGGCCATAGTCCAGTATGAGCTATTTCCCAGCAAATACATGACATACAGGAAATCACAAACCACACCAACCCTGTTCAGTGCCCAATCCAACCTTTTTGGTTCAGTGACAGGGCTACTCACTTTTTTGGAGTTGGCCCAGAATGATCAGGATCAGATTATGTGTGTATGGAAGGGTTGCTTTAAAGGAGATCAAGCCCAGGAAACCAACCCATTCTAGCACAGTCCAACATGATCATATATTGCCATCTGATCCCACCGTAAGTGGAAAGATGCCGGTTCATTGGGCAACTGTAAGCCAATCCATTTTATTTTATCTACAGTACTTATATCCCATCTTCCCATGGTAGAGTCAGTAGGATGGTTAATGAAAAAATATAAAATACAACTCAGATTTGGGAAGGGGGGAAAGCAAAATACAACCCCCCCCCGCTAAAAACACAAAATCTGTGATTTTTGCATTTCAGGAAGCCTGTTATACATGTGGGATAGTGTGGTACTGTCATGCAAACAGCTAGTAACAGACTTTTGTATATTTTATCTACTCATTGAGTCTTTAGTTTACACATCTGACAATGATCCTGTAAAACTGGATGGCCTCATTCCTTGGGTGATCAAAGTTGGCCCAAACAACAACTACATATTTTGAATTATATCACCAGTATAATTATATAAAAGCATATATTATATATTAAAAATTATATATAATATATAGGCTAAAGACTTACATTAAAAAGAAAATCTTAAAGACTGAGAGCCAGGCTGCCAGAGAAGAAGGCAGGCAGGGAACCTCCCACCAGCACTTGTCTGTAGTTGTAGCTTTTGTGAATGGATTCAGCAAAATAAAGCTTTCTGCCAACCAGTTTCAGCCCCATTCTTTCTCTCTTCCATGCCTTCTTAGCATACAGACCTGGCACAGTACATGTTCCAGCATCCTGGTGGGCTTCATCCCCATAATGTCATGGTAGGTTTTTGAAGAAACAGTTACCTCTTGTGTCTGTGATATATTGGTATGGATGTATTGCTAAACTGAGTTGGGCTGACTGGAGTTCAAATATATCATTTACTTAGTGATTTTAACATTTCTAGCCTGGCTCCATGCCCTTGCATGGCAGCTTACAAGCAATCCATTGCAAGTTTTTAAAAAGGAGAACAAGATGAATACAAATGCGGAACATTTGCAAAGATCACTGGGCAAATTGTTGTCTATCAGTTGAGCTTCTTTTGCGGGGCTGTTGCAGAGATCCAACAAGATAACCCTTGTGTGATCTCCTCAGAGATCACATATGGCTTATCTTGCTTAAAATTTGACCAATTTCTCTTTTGTTTTGAGTGTGAAACCTGTGCATAAAACTTAGGGCTTACCCATACAGTGGGGTCTCGACTTAAGAACTTAATCCGTATTGGAAGGCAGTTCTCAGGTCGCAAAGTTCTTACGTCGAATCTGCATTTCCCATAGGAATCCATTGAAAACCATTTAATGCGTATCTGCTCTTTTCCGTCCATAGAAACTAATGGGAAGCTGCTATTCCGCCTTCTGCCACTAGAGGGGGATATTTTTTCTTTTTTTCTTTTTAACCTAAGATGACTTAGCTTTTTAAAAAAAGGAAAAAAAAGAGTTCGTAACTCGAATCTAAGTTCGTAAGTCGAGTCCATATATTCCTATGAGAGCGGTTCGTAAGTCGAAAAGTTCGTATGTCGAGCCGTTCATAAGTCGAGACCCCACTGTACTGTGGCATGTTCTCTGCTTTTTCTGGTTGTTGATTTGGCTCATCCTGGTACAGATTTGAATAGACCATTCCAGCATGGATGCCATACCTAGCGAAGGTGGTTGTTGCTGGATGTACTGGGCCTTCCTTGCAACAGCCTCACCTTTTGGCCACAACAATTTTAATGTTTAATTTTTTTATTTTTTATTTTCTCCTTTTTATGCTGTGGTATAGAAGTGATAACATTTTTGAAAAGCAGACGACAGAAATGGCTCTACCTTCTCTGCCCTCTCCACAGACATTTACTTCACTTCTTCCTTCCTTCCTTCCTTGTTCTACCCACGCACCAATTCTTAAATCTTTGGCCATAATGTTTCTGTTTCGATTTCATTTTTAGTTTTCACATTTTTGCTATAGTGCAAAAGTGGTATTTAAAAAAAAAGATACAAAAAAACCACACCAAAAAACAGAATAGCAGAACAGGTAATACCGTCTCTGCCTTCTTCACTTTCTCATCCCTTCACTCCTTGTTTTTATCCGTCACTCTGCTCAAACTGTCATGTTTTCCCTTAATTTGTGAAATTATTAATTTTCATTTAATTTTTTAAATGTTTAGTTTATCACTTCTGCATTGTTTTGCATGAGGGATAATGTAAAATAAATTTTAAAAGCAGGAGGCAGAAGTGGGTGTTATTTAGAGATGGGCACGAACCGATGGTTTGTTTCTCAGCCCAACAGGGGCTTGGGGCGCCCCAGACCCGTCTCCTCTGCTGGGTGCCCACTCAGAGGGCAGTGCCTGGAGGAGGCGGGGCAAGGAAGCTGGGGCCTCTGAGTGGGCGCCCAACGGAGGAGGCGGGGATGGGAAGCACTGAACAACTGTTTGGCTGAGAAACGAACTGGCATGGACTGCTGAACCAGCAAGCCGTGCCCATCTCTATATTCCAGTTACATTAAGCAGGTGAGGGAAAGTAGAGTGAGCAGCAAAAAAACAAAAACAAAGGCAACAAACAAAGAAACACCATCAAACAACACCCACACACACACACAGGGTGCACGAAGCAGCATACATCAATGCAGTACTGGGGCCACATGATGAAAATTCTGCAAATGGGAGCAAAACCGAGCAAAAAATACACCACCACTCACAGGTAGTGTTTTAAAAACCTGGAAAATGAAAGGTTTTTTTGGGGGGGGGGTGTTGTCCCTTTTGACTCTGTTGACACTTCCATCCTTTGAACACTGGGATACAGTTTTGATATTAAGAGAGTGAGGAAAGTTGAACAAATGCTCAGTGGACGGGCCCTTACTTAGACAAAAGTAAGTAGAAGCCTTCTAAAATATTGATAGGAAAGACTGATAATTCCAAGAATGTGAGCATTCTATACAAAATATATATAAAATGTATAGATTAAAAAAATACTGTAATAGAAAACTTTTCTTTTAATATTCTTCAATACATAAATATACATAACTTCTTTTAAGATGCAAATTCATTCACAGAGCAACATATAAGTATTGCAATGGAATAAACTAATACAAGCTTGTCCAAATCTTAAAAGAAGCAAATTTTAACCTGCTAAGTAATTGCATCTGGACAGTAGAGCAGTGATGTTATTAGGATTTGCTCTTCTTCACAATAACATCATTTGCAGAGCAAAGCAACATTCTACAAGACAATTCTAAAAATAGGAGCATCCCAAACCGAATATGATAACAGATCAGCACTGAATTTGCCACAGTTGCAACAGAAGGTCTGCTCTTGCTCTGTGCCAAATTTGGGGACATTTGTGCAAAGAAGTTTTGAATTATAAAGGTGAAGGTGGCACAAGTCAAGTAATTTGTTTGAGAGAAATGAAATAATGTAACTCAATGTAGAAGTGTTTTTGGTTTCGTTTATGCTGTTTTCAATGTAATCAAATGTTAAAAACATTTTTTTTAAACTAAGCTTGGTTTTCTTTCAGTGCTAAAAGATTTTGTTCTAACCCATAGTCAACTTTCTCAGCTGATGCTGTTGATTAAAAGTGGTGCTCAAGATTTCCTTTTTTCTTTTTTCCCCCTTTGTATTCACTCTATTTTTATTTTATTTTTGCATCAATTGCTAACCACAGAGATCTGATTTTTCCTTCTTTCTCCCAGCTCTTCATGTTCCAACTCCTGCGAGCCTTGGCTTACATCCATGAACATCACATCCTTCATCGGGACCTGAAACCACAAAATTTGCTCCTCAGTTGCCATGGAGAGCTCAAGTTAGCTGACTTTGGTGAGTTATCATAGCCTGTCCCCCAGACATGGTTTTTGTGGGTAGTCGGCTTTCCCATGCTTATGAATGCAAAGCCACCAGTTCTTCCTCTTGGTGAACACAGGGAAAAGAAATATCCATCTTTAAATTTCATCCTTCTTCTCTTTATAACAGTGAATAAATCTAGAATGTAAATCATTTCACATGAAACTGCATGGAAACAGCAATTAAATTGAAATGAGAATTCTTACCAGTTCCATGGAAAACGTTTATCTGCCAACATTTTAAAATATTACTTTAAAGAAAATTCTTATACTAAGGAGGGTAATCTGTGTCAACCTGAGGGTTGTTAGTCTGCAGAACTCCTTGCCACAGGGCGTGGTGATGGCATCTGGCCTAGATGCCTTTTAAAGGGAATTGGATAGATTTCTGGAGGAAAAGTCATTGCAAGCCATGATGAGGATATATAATCTCCAGGCTTAAAAGGAAGCTACCTCCAAATGCCAGATGCAGGGCAGGGGTATCAGGAGAAAGGTATCTAGTTGTCTCATGTGCTCCCAGAGGCATCTGGTGGGTCCACTGTGAGTTACAGGAAGCTGGACTAGATGGGCCCTTGGCCTGAACCAGCAGAAGGGCTCTTCTTAGATCCTTATGTTGAGAAATGTCCTCAATGGCTGCATTTCAGAGATGGGTGAGCCGAAGTCAGAAGAATGCAGGCCAAAATACCTGCATATCTGAACAGATAGTAGCTAAGCCTTAGGGAAGGCATGCCAATCTTCTAAGGAAAACAAAAAAAAGAAGAAGGACATGCAAATCCTGGAACCAGATGATGATGGCATGCAGAAAAGATGTGGACCTCTGAGGAGCACCCGTGTCCCAAGAATGGCCAAACTGGGACTCCAAGATGGATGGATTTAGCCCTAGGGACAGAAGTTTCACAACCCTTCCTTCGGTGCAAGAGGTCTGTAGCTCCCTGGAAGGGCATCAGTTTTACTTATGAAACTTCCCATATAATCACTAGATAAAAAGAAACAATGAGGTAGTGGCAGAAAAAGACCTGGGAGTGCTGGATTGGGTGGACTAATGGTTTAAGGCACCTTTGTACATCAAGTAAACTCACTACACAGCAAATAATATGTGTAACCGTAACAAAGCTTTCTTATGCAAAGTTTGTTTAGGATTTAACTGTTATACCTCTTCCATTTCCCTAGAAACTTTTACAAGTTCTTGTTCGTAGACTTCTTATATATATATTTGTTACCCTGCTCTTCATTTGGAAAGCTGTACTAAACAAATCAAGATTAATGGGGCTGAGGAGCAACTACATGGGTGATTTACCTGCAGTCGTCACTTAACAACCTACTTGTTTAACGACCGCTTGGATTTACGACCCTCATAAATCCATGCTTGTGTCTTCGCCATGCCCCTTTACACACTATTATTGCTCCTTGGTTATCGACAAATTCTCTTCACGACCTTGTCATAAGAACAGAACTTGGTCGTTAAGTGAGGAGCGCCTGTACTCAACAGTTTACACCAGATTTTGGCATAGATGAAATCAAACTAAAAACCGGTGACTACACAACATAAAGTTTTGTATGTGGAAGCCTGATGGGGAATCATCTCAGCTGAAAAGGGTGATTTATTTTACTCCGATTTGGCTGGCCTTGCTTTTCTCTGTTTTCTGCCATGTACGATTGCCTGATCTGACTGATGCAACGAGGTGTGTCTCAATTCCCTTCAACAGACCACCTTTAAGCAGTGTTTCTTTCTTTGAAAACTTCTTTCCAAAGTTAGCAGTGATTACGATAACCACTGTGTCATGTCAGAAAAAATAATAAATTAGTTAAATATGTATTGGTCACAATGAGAGATGGAGAAATATGCACTGTTTTACTTCTCCTTCTGTTGAGTGGAAAGCTGTGAACAGCTGATAGGAGAGGACAATAAGAGACTTCTCTCTAGAGTTGACATATTTGCTCCCTTATGTTAATAAAAGTACAAAAGGCTGGTAAATAGTCTCCCTCTTCTGTCCTCCTGCACTAATCATACTGAAGATACTCTACTAGTGATGTATATACACTGGCACTACATTCAGTACTAAGAGTGGCCATTTCAGGTTTAGGGGGTCTTGCACAAGACATCTGCAGTCAGTTCACCTCTTCCTGCTTGCTTGCCCTTTTGACTAGGAGGAGGAACGAGATGAATGGAACCTGCTGGCTTGTTCAGATTGGGGGAAGAATGCATGGCAAGGATGGGGAGCCCCTGGGCTAGGAGCTTCTGGACTGGCCACTGCGTTCCCTGATCAGCTGTGGGCCATAGCAAGTGCTAACCCTTGACATCCTCAGTGCTACGCTTAACAATGGCCCTTTAAAAATACATGGGGACAAGCCTTCAGTGGCATTCCATGAGCTTGGGATAAAAGTAGCTTATTTGCGACACCTTCTAGTACACACAGTACTGCAATTAGTACTTGCTTTGTTATATTTTATTGCATTTTCACTGCTATTTTGGCTTTCTCTCTTTGAACAAGGATAAACAATTCTGATGCTATAGTATCTACACCTGTGGGAAAGTAGTATATAATGAATTTAGCTCCCTCATTAATGCAGAGGGAATGAACTTTCCCATGTACACAGGCCTTCAGACGCTTTATACTGCTGCAGCAATTATGCAAACTTCAAGGCCCTTTCAAAGAAAATTTTGTCTATTAAAATGTCCTAAAGACATCCAGAACATTCAAGCTGAACAGGAATGCGTGGCACATACAGTAATGAACCAATTAAACATGAGAACTGGAATATGAGCCAGTTTGCCACCAATGAAGTCACTAGGACAAAATAATCTTAAATCTTTGACTTCAATTGAATTGAGTGGAGGTTTTGTTGCTCACTTGGATCCTCACTACAGTATACACTTGATTCCAGATGTAGGAGCAGTGTGATAGTGAAAGCTTGACCTGGAGCTGCATGGGGCATTGGCTCTTTGGAGTGTTGGTAATTAATATTCAAAAGTTGACAAGTGTATAGGATTTTTAAAACTGGCAGTCTGTCGGAAGCTTTGGATAGTTATCTGTATTAGTGTGCCATCTTAAATGTTTGGGATCTTTTTAAATGTTTTATTTTTATATATTTCTGTGTTTTGAGTTTATTGCTTATTTGTTTTTTATTATTTCTATTATTTTCCTATGTTAAATTATATTTGATTGTATTTATATGTTGTAAACTGCCCAGAGTCGCCTCGGTCAGATGCACATATAAAAATTAAATAAATACATAAATAAACAAACAATATGACCTTTTCCACCTGAGACTTCAAATCTGCCGTGGTCAGACGCAGAACCTAAGAAGCAGAATTATCACCATTGGTAATGTTAGAGGTAGAAGTTTGTAATATCATGTGTGATTTAAAATTTCTAATTGCTGCCTCATCTGTTTTGGCAGGCCTGGCTCGTGCCAAGACCCTCCCTAGTCAAATATATTCTCCTGAGGTGGTGACACTTGAATATCGGCCTCCTGATGTGCTACTGGGAGCCACTGATTATTCTTTAGACATTGATATCTGGTGAGAGCTAGTTTTGTAACCATTGAGATGAAGGAAATGGATCAGACTATACTATACTTTTCTTCCTCTTTGAAATATATGCAGAATGTTGAAGGGCCTGAAGAGAACCTAGTTGTCTATGAGCATCGTCAAATCCTTCGATTACACCAAAACAGTTTTTGGAATCAAGGTACAGGAAACAACTTTCCTTGACTCTTTGAAAGTCCTCAGGTGTTAAATGACTTGGAGATTTAAGACGGAAACAGAATTATCTGCTCCTTCCTGAAACTGTCAACTGTGTAACTTCAATATTTAATTTAAATTGTGCCCAACATTGAATGAAGAGATTTCCCAGGTTGACAATTTGTGCCATTCCTATTCCCTTGAAATACCTCAGAACGTCCTAGTAGTTTATTTTGATAAGCTTCGGCATAAAGTAGCCACCAGCACTGGGATCAATACAATTTTTATTGAAAGAATGTACATAAGAGAATATTGGCACTTAAACTCTGGGATTGAAAGCTTGGAGACACTAAGGGAATGACCAGACAATGTGGTTGTCCCCTGCTGCATCACATTCCTTATGCTGCACAGTCACAGACCATAATGGTCATATCATCCCCATGCCCAAGTTTCTTTTATTCCAGGATGGTTGGTAACATCACAGTGGGTGATGTTAGCAACATTTCTCCTGTAGCCCCCTCCATCCTTAACTCCTCCTCCTCCTCCTCCTCTACCGGTATCACCACCCTTTTCTCCGCCCTTTACACTTCTTTTTATATATTGTTCTCTCTGCTTTGGTTGCATGCCCTCATGCATTCCTGACTCTAAATTACAAGTTTTGAAGACATAGATTTACCAAAGATTTTTTTTGAAAATCTGTTGCATACTTCAGTTGCAGATAGCTGTTGATTCAATTTAAACTGACAATCAGTATCATGTTGAAATGGTTTAAGAAAATACCAGTACAGTATAAAACCTGAACAAGACTAATCATTTCAGTTAAAGGCACAGTTTTTTGAGCCATGAATTTACCAGTTTTTTTTGCAATGCATGTATATTTTATGATTCCACTGCATATTGTTCAAAGTCCTTTTAAAAAAAACAAAGACAGGGGTCTGAAATTGTTTGGGTCTATATTGGTATAGTCTGGAAGAAGTAATCATCACTTAAAACTACAGTTTGGCAGACATGGTTTTTTCTAATTCTTTTAATCCATATTTATTTCATGCTTCCATTGTATATGGCTCTTGAGTCAAGGTCTTTTTATGAAAAATTAACAACTAAAAAGTGCTGAAATGGTTTATCAGTATATCAGTATAGCACAAAACTTGTTTGAACTGCCAAGTGATGGAGCATTAAGAATGATTATCATGTCTGAAAGTGATCTGGGAAGGAAAGTTATTTTCATGGCACTGCAAAACAGTGGGAGGGAAGATGCAAACGTGTTCACTCCTACACTTTCAGTCTATATTCTGAAGACACACCCAGCAGTGTTCTGGAAGGACGGCAACAATGAGTCACACAATACAATTCCAAGCCAAAAAAAATGGGGAGGGGGAGAAAACACGGCAATGGTAGCAAAACAAGAAGAACAAAAATAAAAGCAACATGGTGGAGGATTGAGCAAAATGTACTGAGTACTCATGCAAATATTATTCGGATCTACTCAGAAGTAGCAGTAACGTTTTCTGATTGTCACAGAAGATACCGGGATGAACAGTGAATAGTGAGGACTATGGGACAAACAGCCGGACAATGCCTGTCTGCTTGTACCCAAGTGTTTTAATGACCCTTTCTTAAGGATCAAGAAACATTTAAGTATTTTTGTTTTTTAACCTTCAGTCAGATTCCCTGATCCTCTGCCCCAGGTCAAGTCACTCGTAAACAGGTCCAGCTACTACATACAATCTCTTGGAAGCTCCTCCTGTAATATTTCTGGTTTCTTGAATAGTTCAGATGGTTTTGAAAAAGCAACCGGTGTAAGCGAAGCTTCTTTTTTTTCTTTACATTTTTATTAAGTTATTAATAAAATAATGTCTATCAATAAAAAAGTAAGATATGCTTCTTATGCTAAAGGACAGCCTCCTGGTCTTCTTCATCATGTGTAGGTAATCCAATGGTTCTTTTGGAGTGGAGGAATCAGCCGACAGGGCTTCTATTGTTGCCCAGGGGATACCCAGATTGTTCACAGTCCTCCTATTCTTTGAGGAAGCTCCTGTCATGTTCCCCAGCCTCCAGATACAACACAACCACCTGTTCCCTTCTTCTGATCTTCACCAGCACAGCATAATTACCAACACACAGTAGAACAGTTTAATATTCAGGTGGGCTTTAGCTATTCACCTCAGCTTTCTCCAGCCCTCACCTCATAAAATCAAGTTCCTGCAACTATAATTCTTCTTACCATCAATTGCCATTTCCCCTACTGAGTAGAATTTCCAATGTCAATCACTCTGATCTTTCTCACACCAATTTTTTTAAAACATGTACTGAATCCAGCCCCCATATGTAAACCTTAAAAGTTGTTGTTTCCCCCACACATACACGTTCCTTCAGAATCTGTCACCAGGCAGTGATGGCCAAACAGGCTTGCATCATAAAAAACCAAAAGGTCTAAAATGACTCCAAAGTCAGTAACGTGGAAACATGGCCAACCATGTAGTTATTTCCCCTCTGGAGGAGGTGATCCAGGACAGAAGTGATCATCTGGATTCCCTTAAGCATGATAAGATTGTCTCTTGGGGGGGCGTATGTTTTAGATCAGTTGGGACCCCTCCCTGAACATGCCGATAGGTATTATTCCATATTTGTACACACAATTTCCTTTCAGTAGAAAACACGGTCATGAATGCACCCTGTTCTCTTTCATCTTGACTTGGACAAGACACAAGCTCTTAGTTAAGTGTTATATCCAGCAGCACTATCACCATGGTCATTTCCTTCATGTCATATCTGAAGAAGAGATTTTCTTGCTTGTATGTCAACTCTGCCATGAGCACAAACCCTGGAAGATCTTGACTCTTGCTTGCATGTGGAACAGGAATCTGTCTTCAGTGGGTGCCTCCTTTTAACTGTGTTGATGACACCGGCTGCAGTAACACTTGAGCATGTCGGTGCTGGTGTATGTATTTACAGTCTCTGTTGTGTATGTGGTCATGGCTCTTGTGGAGAAACCAACAAAGGAGTGCTTCCTTTTAACTGTGTTGATGACACCAGATGCAGTAACACTTGAACATGTCTGTGTTGGTTATGTATTTACAGTCTCTGTTGTGTATGTGATGGAATGAAGTGGATATCATTTTTTCCCACTCAGGGGTGCTGGCTGTATCTTCATTGAGATGTTTCAGGGACAGCCACTGTTTCCAGGAGTTTGTAACACCTTTGAACAGTTGGAGAAGATCTGGGCGGTGAGTACAATGGCACATTGCCGAGAACCTGCAATGAAAAATCGTTAGCATGCAAAAGGATCAACTACACATATTCTCTCTCTCTCTCTCTCTCTCTCTCATTGGTGTCTGTTGCTCTCCCTGTTTCATGCATTGGAGAAGAGCATTTGAATGATAGCCCCAATGTGTTAAGTTTAGGGTTGTGCCCAATAAGCTGAACCATATTTGGTGGTTTTTTGAAAATACTAAGAATAATTCACATTCCTTTGATACAGTATCTGTCTTATCAAAGAAATGAGATCAGTTGAACTGAGGGCAAGCTGAAAGGGGCACACAAAAGTAAAGTTGCTGGGCTTCTGTTCCCTCTTCCTACACTCTTATTTTAATATTATGTGTATGTTAATTTTCTAACATATATCGCTGAAAGTACCTTGCAGCCCAATTTAATCAACTGCAATTGAAATATTAGTAAATAAAAATTCAATTGTTCAAATTTTTGTACAATGATTTTAAAAACAACCAAATAAACCCAACACCAGAAACATCCCAAATCAGATCTTACCACCTGCCGTTATTAACTGGTTGATAAAAGAAATATTGTGTGCGAGTGTCACGGTGCCCCTTGTCAGTGTGGGGAAGCTTTGCCCCCCCCCCGATGCTTTGAACATTGTCCCACATTCCTTTCCATTGGCTGTGCTGAGTCAGGCTAGTGTGTGAGTTGTATACGAAAGCAATGGAGGGCCAAGTGTTCCCTGCCTAGTGAGATGCTGCCCTACAATATCAGCAATCCTCAGCGGTCTGAATATCTTTCTTATGGACATTCCGGTGGTCTATTCATTCTGAAAGGACATTTTAGGGTTCCGTTATTTTCTTTATTTCACAAAATGAAGGTTTCTGAAGGCTTTTGAAGTCTTAAAAAAGCAAAAGCATGTCAAAACAATAGCAAAACTATCCCCCAGATTAGAAAATTGCCCAATATAGACGTGAGTAGGTAAGAAGAAGCTCCTTTTCAATTTGTAGAATCTCTCTCCCCCAAACATTCCTCAGCCAAATACATATGCTTAAAAAAACCCATCTGAAGCCTTCGTTATGCCCAGCTATGCATGCAGTTCTCCCAGTCTTTAGCAGATGAAATGTGTTTTTTTTTAAGGCGGGGGGGAAATACATTTGTTATGCTGTTAAAGTCATGGAAATTTTCAGGTAATCTCAGTGCAAGATGGAAAATAGGCATGTTAGCACATTATCTCGGACAAAGCCCACTGTGAAGAAGACAAAATATAATTTATTTCTTTGGAAGTAATAAAGACATAATTATATTCCTTTTATTATAATAACACTGCTGTTTTTTCTATGTAATGACTAAATTCCAGTTCCATTTCTTGCATTTGTGTATGGCTCCTGATCTTATCAGTACGGGCAATTTTTTTTGTTTTTTTTTTAGCATTTCCTTCTTCTGTCCTGAGGCTCCCATGGCTTTCATTGTGGGTACCTCTGGACTGAAGTATGAAGAGATTTCCAACAGATTGCTCCTGTTGATGACATCAGCCTTATGCTGTTTTTAAGTTACGAAACAGAATTTCAGCCAACAAGTAATATTTATCCATTCACATTTACCCCCACACTCACCCTTTTCTTACTTTTTTCAGATGGATTTAAAAAAAAAAACATACCCAAATATAAAGTAGAAGTAATGATTACCTAAAATCTTTTTGCAGTGTTAATGGTAATAGGCTCTTTGGTCATAGGAAGGTTAAGTTACACAATGAATTACATTTTGAAAATGTAGCTTGCCCAATTATGAGAAACCCATCCACTTCAGCCCATTGGATTTTTGAACGTAATAAGTGGCATCTTGTAGTTTGAATTCTGAATCAATTCAAACTGGTATAAATCCCTCTCCTTTGCCTTATGAATTTCTATTAAATCTGGAAAAAAACAAAATCCCCGAGACAGAAGTGGAGGGGAATCATATCTGTACCACTGTTGTTGTGAACATTGGATTTCCAAATGTACTAGCTGAAGCATCCTGCCTTTGGAGTTTGCTGAGTGTACTTTTTAAAAGGAGCTCTATGACAACAGTGCTTGGCAGAGGCAAACATTATACAGAATAACTTATTCTGGCATCATTCATTTATCCAGCCGGCTTTGGGCTGTCTTGTCTTTTATTGGCATGGATTTCAGTGCTCGAGGGCAGAGTCCCAGGTGGACTCCGACCTCCTTATCAAGATGCAGGAGAGTTCGTGAGACCCAGAAACATTGTCTTTGAATTGTGCCCTGAATTGTTTTTGAACACCTGTCAGATGAGCCGTTTACTATCTATTCCCTTTCATCTCACAACAGCAGGGGCCTCTCACACAGCCATGGTAAGGGGCTTCGGAGTGCCTGTCATTCTGAGCAGAGCTTTTGCTACTGTTGAGAGAGAGAGAGCAAGAGAGAGAGAGTCACTCATCCGTGCGATCCTGCTTTCCAGGGGAGCACCTTGGGTCTAAATTCAATCGCATAGTGATCTTGACAACCACAGTTGTGTTCAGATGGCTGCTGTTGGTGCAGTCACTCACAGACCTTTGAAGGACCAACATTCCTGACAAAAAAAAATCCTGTTGAGTCCCTTTTCAAGAGTTTTACAACAGCTAGAATCTAGTCTGCCGCACACATGTAGTTAAAAGGGAAACTGATATGTTCTGTTGTTATTATTATCCTTATTTATCGGACTTTTTGCTTCTTGCAGGTACTGGGATCCCCAATGGAGGAAACTTGGCCAGGACTTTCCAAGTTTCAACGTTATAAGCCAGGTATGTTCTCAATGGCTGCTACTTCGAATAGTGTCTATCTATGTAATGCTAGTAGGCTAGAACTGTTTTTCAGATTATTAACCTTGATGTTGAACCATAAAATTAACAGCACTTGAAGGCAATTTCAGGAAAAGGATTACCATCCCTAAAACAGTTGTAAGGTCACCTGAGCTGAATAGGGTTGTAAAAGAGACTGTGAATCAAGCTGATGCAAAGCCAGATTGCTGTGATTTGGCTTGGAAATGTAGTCACACGCACCCAGAGTTTGGTGGCAGATACACAGCATGTGCCCTATAGACGCGCAATGCTAGAGGAGCAGCAGGCAAGATTACATTTTTTCCAGCAAGGATGAGGAAGGTCTGTTGCAGAAGGTGGTTGCAAAAGTACATGGGCAAGATCCCAGTGGCATATCACAAGCCTGGTCATCAAGATCACTATATATGCCAGCTATGTAGAACTTTTTTTTTTCTTTAGCACAAAGCTCAGATCCTAATTTCACAGGGCCAGTACATTCTGTTTCTGCATGGAACAGGCAATCACAGCATGGCTCAATCTTTCTAGGGTTGAGTAGCAAGTTCCCTAAAGCCCTCTGCTCCTGATTTTGATGTGAGCGAGGTGAGTGTGTATTTTTGTGTGTGTGTGTGTGTGTGTATGAGAGAGAGAGAGAGAGAGAGAGAGCCCCAGCCACAGACATGATTTATAAAACAACTTTCCTTTTTATGCCCCTGCAGATTGGGTGAGAATTCGGTGTCCTGAACTTCAAAGAACTAGTTGTCTCTTATTCTGATGTGGGCAGACTGAGAAGTACGCTTTGAAAAGCAGTCTTTCTTTTGTCTTGCCTTGCCTTTCCTCTCCCTCCACCCTGCCCTTTTTGTTTAATGTTTTTTTTTGGGGGGGGGATAGCTTTCAGAGCAGTATACCCAAGTATTAGATCAGGGGTGGGGTGGGGTGAATAACACAACTCCTCTACGTCTCATCAGAATTCTTTTTGAGGAAAAGGATATAAAACTGAAATATTGAAACCCTGAAATGCAAAATCTGTCTACCTGTGCATTAACTGATACATCTTGCTTGTGCTTGGAGAAGGAGCAAGATCTGTTTGAAACCCATGAGAGGCAAGAAGGTGGTGGTTGGGGAGGCTTTCAGCTAGAGGTCTACGGATTTAGCAGAGCATAGTAACATCTCTTCAAAGCAGTGGGTGTTGCTCCAAGCTGCCCTCGTTTAGCTTCAGTGCTGGAAAACTAAACATTTCTTCTTTTGACATGCTTGCTAGTGTTGGCCAAACAATAAGCTGAACTCACCCAGTCAAGGTCTGGAATCTTTCACACAATTAGTCAGGACTCATTAATCAAGCCAGCATGAAATGAGAATGTGTCCTTTAACTCTGGGGGTGTGGGTCCAGTGCCTCCCTGAACCTGTTGAGGGGAGTTCAGGAGAGGGAATAGGATTGCTGTTAAAGCTGGCTCTACTCCTTTTTGCCACCCTTACAAACAAAATCAAAAGGGATGTGGTGGCGCTGTGGGCTAAACCGCAGAAGCCTGTGCTGCAGGGTCAGAAGACCGTCGCTTGTCCCAGCTCCCGCCAACCTAGCGGTTCGAAAGCATGCAAATGCAAGTAGATCAATAGGGACCACCTCGGTGGGAAGGTAACAGCGTTCCGTGTCTAAGTCGCACTGGCCATGTGACCACGGAAGATTGTCTTCGGACAAAAACGCTGGCTCTATGGCTTGGAAACGGGGATGAGCACCGCCCCCTAGAGTCGAACACGACTGGACAAAAATTGTCAAGGGGAACCTTTACCTTTACCTTACAAACAAAATCAATGGAATTATGTGTTCCAGGAAGAGAGAAAGATGAAGAGAGACAGAAAAAGTGAATATCTTTCAAAGAACTCTTCAAAAAAACAAGGAAAAGGCCTGCCATGTTAGCAGCAAAGGATCAGCTAATCTGCAGCCCTGGGCAGCTACCTCACCCGGCCTGTTGGCAGGGCCAGGCCTGGAGTGGGGCCAGAGTGAAATAAGACACTGAAGGCAAGAAAGGCATCAAGCATTTACAGTGTTGGTTACATAAATATCCTAGCCTATGGTAAACATCTGTAGGGTAACACACAATGAATAGGCTTTGCCCTTTGAAGTGCTGAAGCGACAAGTGCTGTTTCTCAGAAAAGTTGTGATTGTTTCTAAGACTGAAAGGCCGGGATTTTTGTGAAAAAGAAAACAGTTCTTTGGCAATACACAGAATTGTCTCAAAACCTCAGGAATTAGACCTTTAGGGAAAATGCTAGTATTTTCTTTATTGCACTTCTATGCCACCTTTCCCCCAGCAATGGGACTCAAGGCAGTTTACAGATCGTTAAAACAAGAATAATAATAAAAAAGAAGCATTTAAAAATTTTATAAACATGGAAATCTTGAAATCGCCATATAAAACTATTTAAGAATTGTAAAACCATTTTGAAAGTACATCTAAAAGGATAAATGGCCAGCAAGCTCAGGGCAGCTGGCTATGTTAAATGTACACATTAAACACTAAAAATCTGTTGGAATGAAGGTGTCTCATTCACTGCTGAAAAGTGAGGAGAGAAGAGCCAGCCTAGCCTCATGGGGCAGGACATTCCATGACTTGGGGCAACAACCAAGAAGGCCCTTCTCTTGAGTCCCTGACCGGTGTATCTGCAAAAGTAAGAGGACTGAGAGGAGGACCTCCCTGGATAATTATGAAACCCAAGGAGGGTTATATGGAGAGATACAGTGTATCATGTGAAGGATCATATCACCCCATATATGCCTTCTTGGTTCTGAAGATCTTCTGGGGAGGCCCTTCTCTCAGTTCCACCACCTTCTCAAGATAGCTGGGTGAGGACTCAAGAGAGACAGGGCCTTCTCAGTGGCTGCTCCCATGGTGAGGACACAAGAGAGACAAGGCCTTCTCAGTGGCTGCTCCCAGGCTTTGGAAGGCACTGCCCTGAGAAGCCTGACTGGCCACCTTCCTCTTGCCTCCCTCTTGCCCTTCAGGAAAAGACAGGCCTTTAAGCAGTAAGTTATCTCAAAAAGGCTGGTTTTTAACTTACAGGTGTGTAAATGTTTCTGTAATGTTTTTACATTTGATTTTTAATCTTAATATACGTTTAATTGTTTTAAAAATATATTTATATAATATTTTTAAATTTGTTGTTTTCTCTGTTGTAAGCTACCTTGGGTCCCCTACAGGGAGAAAAGCAGCATACAAATGAACAAACGTCAGATAACCTATACCCAAGCTATACAGTGGTGCCTCGACTTACGAACTTAATCCGTTCCAGAACATGGTCATAACTCGAAATGGTCGTAACTCGAAGCACCGTTTCCCATAGGAATGCGTTGAAATGCAGTTAATCTGTTCCTGCCATTTTTGGTCGTATCTCGAGGTGCCAGTCGCAAGTTGAAGCATTCGTTCCCATAGGAACTAATGGAAAAGCGGTTAATCCATCCATTACCACTAGGGGGAGACTTTTTCTAAAACCTAAGGTGACTTAGGTTAAAAAAAGGCCAGGAAAGGAGGGAGGGAAGGAACAATGGGGAAAAGAGGAAAGAAAGAAAGAAGGTCATCACTGGGGCACACAGACCCCTCAGACAAAAGTTTGCGCTTTTAAGCCCAATAAGAGAGGAGATATAGAGAGAGAAGATGGGGGGGTAGAGACTTTGGAGTCTAAAACACATTTTAAACCCACACATTTTAAACCAACACCTTTTAAAACAAAAGAGAGGTCACAGTACACAAACCCTAGGAGCCACAGAACAAAAACTAAAAATGTTACAAATACACACTGCAAGACCCATCAGAGCATAGAAACATAACTCCCCAGCCCAAACCCACACTGCAAAAACCCTGTACATACAGTACTCACCTAGAACAGGCAATCTCTCTGTTTTAAAACAGAAAGTCAAAAAGCAAAAAGCAAAAATCCAAAAAGCAAACAATTTTAAAAACAAAAATGCCCCCCCACATACACTACACTACACTACAGTACTAGGGAGTCTGAAGTCTCGCTCCGGACCCACACTCTCTAACCGCTGGGGTGAAAGAGCTACAGAGAAGTAGCCTCTTTGCTGATCAATGGTTAAATGAAAGCAGTTCAAATTCCCTGCCTTCCCCACATTTTTTTTCCGTTTATAACTCGAAGTGCCGGCAAGTGAAAACAAAATTTTGCGGCTGGAGCTGGTCGTTTTTTTTTCCGTTTATAACTTGAAGTGCCGGCAAGTCAAAACAAAATTTTGCGGCCGGAGCTGGTCGTAACTTGAATTGGTTGCAAGTTGGGACATTCATAAGTTGAGGCAACACTGTATAGTGCTTTATAGGTTTTAACCAGCACTTTGAATTGAAGGAGACCAGTAGCCAGTGAAGCTGCTGCCACAGGGGAATTATATGATAATATTAGCACAAGCAGTAGTACTGAAATGAGACTCAATTAGAAGCAAACTAGAGTCTAACCATGGGTTGCCTCCGATTATACCAGTGGAACAAATATCAGCAGATTCCTCACCTCTTGCTGTCCCCCTAGATGTGTTTTACAGAGGCAGAGGGTCGAGGAGAATAGGTCTGCCTGTGCCGTATTAGATGCCATCCCAAATGCAAGTTGTGGTTGCCTCTGACATTTCTCCACTTTTTCCCATGTTTCTTCTTGACACACCCAAAAGCTTTTCACGAGATGCAAATAGTTTCCTATACTTTTTGATTGGTAGCACTAGAAGCTGTTCTTCAAGAAGTCTCGTCTTCAAGAAGTCTCTTTGGCTTTGGCTGATATCGCTACTTTAAAGGGAGCAGGCAGATAACAGCTGTCATGTAATAAATAAGGAGACACACTTCTCTATTGCCTAGAGCAGGGGTCCCCAATCCCCGGCCTGCAGTCTGGTGCTGGTCCATGGCCATGGCAGGACTGGGCCGTGGAGACAGATCTCAGTCTTTGCACACACTCCCCCCACCCCACCTGCACGATGGGTGACCCACCCACCCGTGAGCACG